CCCGAGTTGTGAGTGAAGGGCAGACGGACGACCGACTTATATATGAAACAGACGACGGAAACCTCTTTAGTTATAGTAGAGACAGAGATATAATGTGCAAATTAATATAAATGATCCTCCTCCTATAAAAATCCTATAAAAGTAACATGAGTAGAGTTATTACCTACCAGTTAAGGGATCTGAACCTGTAAAAAAAATACTGTCTCCCATCTCTTTTATCTCAATCTTGCGTATATCCTAATTCCAACAATTATCATTCTTTATAAATAATGTCTACGGGTATAGCCCGTCGACAGTGACGAACATGTAAAAACACTATCATGACAGAGTGTATGCTTCGGACTCGAAAACACCAAGCGAAGCAGGGTGAGGACATAATTACTTTTAGTATTTTACTAGCAAAATGACAATATGATGTAACGGATGAAATCAATTTTAATTTTACATACATACATCAAACATGCACGTTGGTAGATTAGTCGAAAGCAATGACACATTAACTACCACATGGTGAGTGCATAAGGAGCAGAAATTTACCATCTCTCACTAAATCGATTAGTCCATAATTAGCCATAAGTGTTACAGTAATCTATATGTGTTAACAACGGATTAATTAGGCTCAAAAGATTCGTTTCGTGGTTTCCAGGCGAGTTATGAAATTAGTTTCTTCATTCGTCTCTAAAATCCTTTTCAACATCCGGTCAAACATCCGATGTGATACCTAAAATTTTTTTTTCGCGAACTAAACAGGCCCTAAGAATGGTGGGACTAATTCCACTGTCCCTCGTGCACCCAAAACTTGCTGGTTGCACAACCACCGCCCTCCTCACGACACGTGCCATCTTTTTTACCCTCTTACAAAACTTAATCTATAAGAGCAGGTACAATAGCAGGCTATAAGCCAGCTATAAACATATTTTAAAAAGATAAAAGAAGAGAGAGAAGAGCAGCGGGCTACAGATCTATAGCCAGCTACAGCACGGACTCCAAGACGTAATGTGTGTATGATATGTAGGACCATATATTAATAATATAGTAAGCAACTATTATATGAATTGACTATTACATTGGCTATATATGATTTGGAGCTAGTAATTGACTATACTATTAAACTTGCTCTAACTAGATATTGACAAAACTATAACCAGAATGAGACCTTGTCAGTACCTTGGTCCTAGACGCTGACACCTTTGACAAACAATATAAAAGAATGGTAGATCCAACTGAATATTGAAAGTGTACCATAAATGACGTTTGGAAAAAAAAAACAAAGAGGTTACGGACGGCAAATGAGATTCGAACCCAAAATCCTATTAGATAAGGAGCAACTTACCATTGAGTTACTTAATACACCTAGTTAAGAAACAACCTACCTTCCTTTTGATTTGTACCATACTCACCAAGGTTCATGGCGCTGATATATTGGATCACAGCGTCAAGACCCATGGCGTTGAGGTAGAGTTTCAATTTTGGTAATAGTTTTTGTCAATGCATATTTATAAAACAAGTTTTGTGAAAGGATAGGAGTGGAAGAAGTTTGAAAATTGCTCGCCACTCCCAAATACGCAACCATGAAGTAATCCAATGGCGTTGACCCCTCTCACTACTTCCAAAATAATCACTCCCAAAATAATCACCAACTTCCACATCCACCCCTCCAAGCGCCTCCGCCCTTCCTTCGGCATCCCTTTCCTCCTCCGCATCCAGACTCTCACGTGAGTAGGCACCGCCGTGCCAAAACCTGTCGCAATGCATGCCTCACCGGCAAACCGAGTCCAGTGTTAAGCTACAAGCCTACAACCTCCAACAGTCCAATATTGATCCCTAGTCCGTATTCACACGGGAATATCCGTCCTTAGGGTTTTGGTGCTGGCCATTAGTCTAGCTTCAGGCCGGTGGCACTAGAAAATTGGAGGAGCTTCTTGTCGAGGAGACGTGGCTAAAGGTGTCCCTCAAGGAACTCCGCAAAGTTAGAAGTGTAATCTGAAGCTCGTAATCACGACTGTAACACGGACTCGTAATTGATACAAACGCAAACATAGTCATAAACAATTGTACACTGTGTATTTGGTACTCATTCAAGAATCTATACATGTAAGCAATTAGAATTAAGTAGCATCCTCCCAGAAAATGCATATAGCAAGGAGAATAAATTAATTGATAATCATTATATCCTCTACTAAAATAGGACACATGAACAGAAGTAAGAGAAAACCCAAAAAGAAAATCTGGAAGGTGAGATATTGGGTAAACAAACAAGTATCGTATCGTTCATCCAGGAATTACAACCAAATAATATAGAGTATATTTTTACTGTATCCTAAGTTGAGTATGATTCATTGATTTCGATCCAAAGGCTTAGATTTTATTATAATACATCAGAAATAGTATGTGTAGTAGTAGAAATTGTAAGAGGGGGAAAAAAAGGAAATAAGTCTTCTAATCTTCTTCCCGATTTCTGCTACTGCTCACCGGTTTTTCGCACACCATGGCATCTTCGTCCTCACGATTCAGCATGGCACGACTTCATTCTCATGATCCCTGTAGCTTCCAGCGACTTTGTTTGTCACCACGATTCACGAAACATGATCCCGGCTGCCGGTAGCCCTCAAGCCATGTGTTCCTGATCCTGACTCCCTGAACAGCATCGACAAGGATCGATCACAGGCAATTTTGTCATCTTGTGTTTCTAGGGGCTAAAAGAAGGACATGCTGCACGGCAGCTTGGCGGATGTGCAGCTTCGGCAACTGCACATGCAGTTTTGCTTTTGGGACTAGGGAAGCTGCTTAGATTCTAACTTTTTTCCAACAAACTTTCAATTTTTTCGTTACATTCAACTTTTCTATACTTACAAACTTTTGACTTTTCCATCACATCGTTTTAATTTTTTCAAACTTCTAATTTTGACGTGGAACTAAACACAACATAGATGAAGACATACAATTCAATTTTGGGGTTCGTCCACATATTTGGGGCACATTTCAAGAAAATTGTTCTTTGAATAGCTTCAAGATGTATCAGAATAGAACTGAACTTGATGATCTACCATTCGTAAACAGAAATTTAATTGGTGCTGAATATTTTAGGACATGTTATCAGGATAAACAAAAGCGATCAACCAACGTTTCGAATTGGGGAACTGTGGCTAAATTAGCGATGCCTTTTCTTCTCTTTCTCGTGTTGCTCAGGCGTGGGTTGCTTCCCAGACCGGCTTGTTTGTTGCTCACGAGGCGCGCGGATAATCGCGAAGGCCAATGCTAGTATGCATGACTAAAATAGTCTAACGGCCATGGAAATTAACGGTTAGATTTAACTCATACTACTCTACTGCCATATAGGAGTACTCCAATAGTGGAAGGTACCGTAGAAGTGCACATAATATACGCAGTTTAGCATGGCAGTTGTTCCACCACAATCTGCAATATTATTTGAGTTTACTGAACCATATATAGGTGGTGTTGGGATTCAGGGACTAAACTTTAGTCTTTGTCACATCGGATGTTTAACATTAATTAGAAGTATTAAATATAGACTACTTACAAAACTAATAGCATGAATAAGAGCTAATTCGCATGACAAATTTTTTAAACCTAATTAATCTATAATTAGCACATGTTTACTGTAGCATCACATAGGCTAATCATGGATTAATTAGGCTCAATAGATTCGTCTCGCGAATTAGTCCAGAGTTATAAAATAGGTTTTATCAGTAGTCTATGTTTAATACTTCTAATTAGTGTCCAACCATTCAATGATGTGACAAGGACTAAAAATTTTTAGTCCCATCCAAAAACAACCCCATATTACACCTTTCGTCTCAAAATATAGTAATGATGGGATGAGACCTATCTTAGAACTACGAATCTGGACATGAGGCATGTCCAGATTCATAGTGTTAGGATGAGTTAGGTTGCTACATTTTGGGACGGAGGTAGTATTTGAGACTTGCTCTGGTCAAATAAAAAGTACCTCAAGATACCAGTACTTCACGCTACCAAATTGTTTCCGATAGTTATGTTTAGCTAGACAGGATGGACATTGTTAGATCCAACCATCCGAAACAATACGGTACCGGTACCTCGAGGTACTTTCTGTTGGACAGGAGCAAATTTCATATTATTTGGGTTTGCTCAATTCCTAAAAACAGTTCAAGTCGAACGACTAGCATGAGGTCGATCTAGTATAGTGGGCCACTGTATCGGTTTAAAACCTGGATGAGATGGTTTGCGGCTAGCTAGTTATGGTCGGCTTACTTAGGTGTTGGCTCGATAAGATTGAAGGTGGCTTGAATTGTGTTGTCTCGGGTTGAAATCCCTCACTCACATCCCCTCCCGGTGAAGCTTTATATTTATACCCTCATATACCCTTATTTAAGTAAAAGTAAAGAGACAAATGTAGATTTTGAATCGTTTTAATCAGTGACAGATTTATGTGTAGGTTGTGGGGTCAGCCCAGCGTTTTCACTATCATCCAGTGAGTCTTAAATTTTCTATATAAATCTATTCAAATCTGCATAAATGACCTCACCAAAATATGAAGTAATAATAATTAACCCCACCGAGTAAATTTCCTAGCTTCGCCACTGGTTTTAGTAGGAACCAAATAGAACTATGTCTTTCTTTCATCATCTCCTCCCGGCTTTACATATGTTTGGGTTTGTTTTCATATAGGAGTCAGTGATATATGGTATTCCGTCGAGGTAAGTATACGTCTAACTACATATTAAGTTCAAACTCAATCTACACCAGGGTTTGAAATTTCGGTTCGAAATTTCGCCCCCCACCGAAATGCTCACATCTCACCCGAAAATTTTGTTTTTTGCAATATTTTGTGAATTTGGTCAAATTTATTCAAAATCAGTCAAATTTTCAAAAAAAAAATCGTACAAAAAAAATTCGGAAAATTCGGTTCTTTCGCCCACCTGTGGTAGAAATCTTAGTTTCGAAATTTTAAACCCTGAACTACACATTAAGGGGGGAAATCTAAGAATAGACTCAAGATTTTATGGAACAAGTCAAGTAATTGAAACGATTTCCCCCCCTATAAATACGCTCTTTGTTGAGAGTCCAGAAGAGCATAAGTGAGACAGTCTGAGCAAGAGCTCGAGCCTTCAGTATCCCACGCACTATGGGAACCAGAACTAACCCGCCCGGCTCAATGGTGGAGTCATTTCACGGCCTGGTCGTGGTAGACCTCCGCACGGCGGCGCCATTGCTGGCTACAGCTGTGGCGTTGTACATCCTCATAGAGCAGTTGTCATACCACCGCAAGAAGGGGTCCATGCCAGGGCCGCCGCTCGTCGTCGTGCCATTCCTCGGCAGCGTCACGCACTTGTTCCGCGACCCGGTCGGATTCTGGGACTTGCAAGCGACGCGTGCTAGCAAGTCCGGCGCTGGGCTCACCGCGGACTTTCTCTTCGGCCGGCTTATGGTCTTCATCCGTGACTCGGAGCTGTCCCGCCGCGTGTTCGCCAACGTCCGCGCCGACGCCTTCCACCTTGTCGGACACCCGTTCGGCAAGAAACTCTTCGGCGACCACAACCTCATCTACATGGTCGGAAAGGAGCACAAGGACCTGCGCCGCCGGATCGCGCCCAACTTCACGCCGCGCGCGCTATCCACCTATGCTGTCATCCAGCAGCGTGTCATCCTCTCCCACCTCCGGCGGTGGATCGACCGGAGCGTTGCTAACGGCGGTAAGGCCGAGCCCATACGGGTGCCCTGCCGCGACATGAACCTCGAGACATCGCAGACGGTGTTCGTCGGGCCGTACCTCACCGTGGAGACGAGGGAGAGGTTCGATAGGGATTACAACCTCTTCAACCACGGTTTCATAACCTTGCCCATCGACCTGCCAGGGTCCGCGTTCCGGCGCGCGAGGCTTGCCGTACCGCGGCTGAAGCATATTCTCGAGGACTGTGCACGTCAGAGCAAGCAGCGCATGCGCGGCGGCGGCGAGCCGGAGTGCCTTGTGGACTACTTGATGCAGGAGACGGTTCGTGAGATCGACGAGGCCGCGGCGGCGGGGCTGCCGCCGCCACCGCACACCAGTGACATGGAGACCGGGAACCTCTTGTTTGACTTCCTCTTCGCGGCTCAGGACGCGTCCACCTCCTCCCTATGCTGGGCCGTGTCCGCGCTGGACTCCCACCCGGACGTGCTCGCCCGCGTCCGAGCTGAGGTGGCCGCTCTCTGGTCGCCGGAGTCAGGCGAGCCCATCACTGCCGAGATGATGACGGAGATGAAGTACACCCAGGCGGTGGCGCGCGAAGTTGTCCGGTACTGGCCTCCAGGCCCGGTGGTGCCGCACATCGCCGGCGAGGCGTTCCAGCTGACGGAGCAGTACACTATACCCAAGGGCACCATAGTGTTCCCGTCGGTGTACGAGTCGTCGTTCCAAGGGTTCCCCGACGCTGGCACGTTCGACCCGGAGCGCTTCTTCTCGGAGGCGCGGAGGGAGGACGTGGTGTACAAGCGCAACTTCCTCGCGTTCGGCGCCGGCCCGCACCAATGCGTCGGGCAGCGCTACGCGCTCAACCACCTCGTCATTTTCATGGCTCTCTTGGCGTCTCTCATCGACTTCCGGCGTGAGAGGACGGAGGGCTGCGACGTGCCGGTGTACATGCCGACCATCGTGCCGAGAGACGGCTGCGTCGTGCACCTCAAGCAGCGGTGCGCCAAGTTACCATCGTTCTGAGCTGGTTATTTTCCGTCACCCATCAATTTCTCCACGGCTGCACCTCCACTGCATGTGCGTTCCCTGTACTGTTCACGGGTGTATTCTAAATTCTCAAGGAAATATCGATATCCTTTATTTGTATGTCATATAAATGGTTACAAAATAAAACTAAAAACACAACAAGTTAAATTAACATATGAGAAAACCATTCTACAAATATACAAGTTAAAATTTAACTTTTACAAGTTAAAAAAAAAACTATGAACGTATATTCACACTTAAATTTATTTTTTTCGTTGCAATTGGTTGAAGTTAAATTTGATCTTGTATATTTTTATGAAGTGATTTATCACATATTAATCTATCTTGTTGATTTTTTTTTCTAATCATTTGAATTATATGCAAACAACGAGGAATATCCTCTTAATAGTTTAAAATATTTTCCCTATTGTTCACTATTTGGACAATCATGTCATGACCACTTCGTCTTCTCTATTGTTTGCTATATTAAAATTGCAAGCCGATGTAGTTGCACCTTGCACATGCATGTGCGTGTATTAGGTGGTGTTTCGCGTCAAGCGCTTATTGTCTTGCGTGTCCATGTTTGTATACGGTTGAATGATTTAACCGTATAAATAAAGGGATGGCTGAGATTAAGGCAAATTCATCGGTGGAGTTGGCCGCAACTCTATGGGATCTGCACCTATCTTTTAGGTGTGTGAATTACAAACTATTAGGAGGATCACAAATTCACAACTGCAATCCCGAAATATTGGGGCAGCCGAAATTCAGAGGATTTTATTACTTCTTTACCATATTTTTTTTTCAAATCTACCCCTTCGCTAATTCTACTACTCAAGCTACATGTGTAGTACAACTGATTGTAGAGTCCGTCAGATGAAATTCATAGATGGCGGATGGCCATCCCTGGCTCCAAGGGTACATAAAAAATGCTCTATACTTAATTTAGATACGTTAAGTAGGGTATGGACGGACGTACGATTGCACGTAGAAGCAAATAACGATTTAATTTGAAAATTAGGAGTAGGAGGGCGTAGTATGTACATACACGAAAGATTTTTTTCGTTTTTTTTCTTTGGTGAATAGTACTCAATCCATTTCATATTATAAATCGTTTTGACTTTTTTCTTAATTAATCAAATCATTTAAGTTTGATCAAATTTATAGAAAAATAGAGTAGTATTTCAACGCAAAACAAAATGTATTATCAAAATATATAAAATATTGCTATTTTTTTATATACTAGAAAAATATTAAAATGACTTATAGTATGAAACGGATGAAGTAGTATGTATTTATACGTAAATAAACAGGATTTTTTAATAGCTTTTTCCATATTTCTGGTGAATAGTACGTACACATACATATGTTTTCTCTGGTATATAGTAGTACGTATTTATGCGTACCAGGGTTTACGATTCCGAGATGACCTTCCACTCTGAGCTTTGGCGGTATGACGGTTTTCGTGAAATCCGATAGAAAACCGGTAGGTTTCAAACAAATTTTGTAAACCAAAATTTGAATACTAATTCCCTGAGTTTATCGATATGCTCGCGAAAACCTGTCGGCTTTAGCGATATTCCGAGCGAAATCAAGTGCACAACCACATCGCCTCTCTATTATATTATCTAGGCTAAGTACTAAGTGGGCCTACTATATGGAATTTGGCACAGGAAAGTGTTTTTCTTTTTTAAACCGTTATTCTTTTCTTTTCTACTGTAAAGTTCAAGAAATACACGGAATATACCATTTCTTTTGGAAAATTTATACCCAATGGATTTTGTTTTTTTTTTATTTTTTATCAATTCAAATTCGAATTTGAATGAAACCCTTCAAAATTACAGACGGTTTCTACTTTCGAGCCACCTCGAAATCTTGGTTTTCGTCGGATCTGTTAACCCTGATGCGTACATGCGAGATTATTTTTCCTAGTTTTTTTCCGGTTAGTAGTACATACGTTTTTTTTTCTCTCATAGCGCACGGGAGATTAGATGGGAGGACCAATCATCTTTTTGTTCGTTTTTTCGGTGAGTGGTAAAGTACTTACGTACGTACGTACTAACTATTCAGGACAGACTTTTTTATTCATTCCCAGGTTACGTGTGATCTAACCTAATGTTTTAACTTATCTAAACGAATGTAATGGATTAAAATAATGAGTTTATTGATTAAATTGAAAACCAAGGGTTATATATAATTTTCTTTTCTATTGTAATTTGGAAGGTTTTCTCTAATTTATTAAAGCGACGGATGACAGAATAAGAGAGTTTGTAGGATTGCTATGTAGTCGTTTGATATTTTTCCTAGTGAAACTTTATTAAGTTTGATCAAGTTTATAGAAAAATTTAACATCTAAAATATAAAATTAGTTTTATTAAATCTAACATTGAATATAGTTTGATGATATGTTTGTTTTGTATTGAGAATAGTAGTATATTTTTCTATAAATTTGGTTAAACTTGAAGAAGTTTGACCAGAAAAAAGATCAAACGACTTATAATATGATATGGAAAAAGTAGTGATTTAGGAGCGTTTGTGACAAAATAATAGATGGATTTTTTTGGTTCTCTCTCTGGTGAATAGTTGTACATATCTATTATCTTATTAAAGTAATAAAAAAGGAGCCTCCACGTTCGCTCTCACGGCTTAAAAATTCTCATATTAATCGAAGAAAAATAAAAACATAGTCCATATAGAAATACAATTTAGAAATAGCTGAAATTCGAAATTAAAAAAAATAATGAATATTGTAAGAGGAGACTAGAGTACATATAGAAATATAATTAAAAAATAAAAGAAATTCGGAATTAAAAATAAGGAATAGTAGAAGAAAAGCATAGAGTCCATATAGGAATTTAGAATGTACTAAAAGGAATAAAATTAATAAAATTAAAATTAGAGCTTAGAGTCCATATAGAAATACAATTTACAAACAACTAAAATTCAAAATAAAAAAAATAGCAAGAAGAGACTAGAGTCCATATAGGAATACAATTTAGAAGAAACTAAAATTCGAAATTAAAAAAATAAAGAATATTGAAAGATGAGTTTAGAGTTTACATAGAAATACAATTAGAAATAATGAGAATTCAGAATTAGAAATAAATAATATTGAAGAGAAGCCTAGAGTCTATATAGAAATACAATTTACAAATAATGAAAGTTCGAAAAAAAAGAAATATTGGAAGACGAGTCTACATGCCATATAGGAATATAATTTAGAAACAACTAAAATTTGATATTAAAAATAATTATTAAGTATCACGTATATAAAATACAGTATGAATATTACATATTTGTAGTTTGGTAAAGTTAGTATAAAATTTAAAATTATATTGAATATATTTTAATAATAAATTGGGAAAAAATATATATGCTATTATATTAGATAGAATATATTAGATAGAATATAATGATCCTAGCCGCGCAATTTACGCGGACCACCATACTAGTTTATATGTAAACAATATTTTTAAATACTTTTCATATTCCTGGTGAATAGTACGGACGCACACGGATATTTATTGGGTTTTTTCTCCGTTGAACAGTAGTACATATTTATACAAACACGTGAATTTTTTTTTCAGTTTTTTCCGATGAATAGTATACATGCGTAGTTTTCTCTCGTAGCGCACGGGAGATAAGATGGGACGACTAATCATCTTTTTTTTAATCATTTTTGTTCGAAAAGGACATCGTATTCCGCGCGCACGCTTCCCAAACTACTAAACGATGTATTTTTTGTAAAAATTTTCTATAGGAAAGTTGCTTTAAAAAATCATATTAATCCATTTCTAAAATTTAAAATAGTTAATACTCAATTAATCATACGCTAATGGCTCACCTCGTTTTGCGTATCTTCCCAATCTTCTCAATCCCCCTCTCCTCAAACTCACCCCTAAGTACTATTTACGGCAGATTTTTTTTATTCGGTACGAGGTTGTTTCTTAATAAATCTAATCTAATAGTTTAAAATAATGGATCACCGATTTAATTAAAAATTAAGGTTAAATTTTTTTATTGAAATTTGTGTAAGATTTCTCTTATTTATTAGAGCGACACGTGACATCGCTAATCTAGCTAGAAGCGTTTATAGAAGTGTCATATGATGGTTTAAGAAGCGTTCATAGGAGTGTCATATGATGGTTTAAGAGCTTTTGTACGTGGTTTAATGGATTTTTAGTATATAATAGTTGATAGATAGTTGGAGAAAAAGAAAAAGAAAAAGATTAAAGGCAATCTTATAGTCTATCTATTATAGGCATGTTAGCTTTAATATAGGCTTATAGATAGTAGCTCTACTAAGTATTAAACTTGCTCTAAGAGCAAGGTCAATAGTTTAGTAGGCTACTGGCTTCAATATTTATCCAGGTCATTTATATATAGCTATTAAGAGAGAGAGCTTGTATAAAAGCAAGGTTAATAAGAGAGCCTGTTGTTGGCGCTTCAATTGATAGCCATGTTATCTATAGTTAACCCTATAGTCAATGTGTTCAATAGATGTATTGTATAACACGAATATTTGGATGGTGTTTGAATAAACTGATGGGACGTACGTTGCCCGCCGGATTGAAATAGTTTTCCTATAAATACGTATACGCGCATGTCCAGTAGAACATAAGTGCAACTGTCTGAGCAGGAGCTCGAGAGCCTTCAGCACCCCACGCACTATGAGAACCAGCACTGACCCGTCCGGCTCAATCGAGTCGTTTCACGGCCTCGTACACCTCCGCACGGCGGCGCCATTGCTGGCTGCAGCTGTGGCGTTATACATGCTCATAGAGCAGCTGTCATACCACCGCAAGAAGGGGTCCATGCCAGGGGCGCCGCTCGTCGTGCCGTTCCTCGGTAGCGCCGCGCATTTGATCCGCGACCCGGTCGGATTCTGGGACGTGCAAGCGGCGCTCGCTCGCAAGTCCGGCGCTGGGCTCGCCGCGGACTTTCTCTTCGGCCGGTTCACGGTCTTCATCCGTGACTCGGAGCTGTCCCACCGCGTGTTCGCCAACGTCCGCGCCGACGCCTTCCACGTCGTCAGCCACCCGTTCGGCAAGAAGCTCTTCGGCGAACACAACCTCGTCTACCTGGTCGGCGAGGAGCACAAGGACCTGCGCCGCCGGATCGCGCCCAACTTCACGCCGCGCGCGCTCTCCACTTATGCCGTCATCCAGCAGCGTGTCATCATCTCCCACCTCCGGCGGTGGCTCGACCGGAGTGCTTCCAACGGCGGCAAGGCCGAGCCGATACGGGTGCCCTGCCGCGACATGAACCTGGAGACCTCGCAGACGGTGTTCGTGGGGCCGTACCTCACCGAGAAGGCGAGGGAGAGGTTCGACAGGGATTACAACCTCTTCAACGTCGGTTTCATAACCTTGCCCGTGGACCTTCCGGGGTTCGCGTTCCGCCGGGCGAGGCTAGCCGGGGCACGGCTGATGCACACTCTCGGGGACTGCGCACGTCAGAGCAGGCAACGCATGCTTGGCGGCGGCGAGCCAGAGTGCCTCCTGGACTACTTGATGCAGGAAACGGTGCGTGAGATCGACGAGGCCACGGCAGCGGGGCTGCCGCCACCACCGCACACCAGCGACGTGGAGGTCGGCGCCCTCCTGTTCGGCTTCCTCTTCGCGGCGCAGGACGCGTCCACCTCCTCTCTCTGCTGGGCGGTGTCCGCGCTCGACTCCCATCCGAACGTGCTCGCCCGCGTCCGTGCTGAGGTGGCCGCTCTCTGGTCGCCAGAGTCCGGCGAACCCATCACCGCCGAGATGATGTCGGCGATGAAATACACCCAGGCGGTGGCGCGCGAGGTTGTCCGGTACCATCCACCGGCGACGCTGGTGCCGCACATCGCCGTCGAGGCGTTCCAGCTGACGGCGCAGTACACTATACCCAAGGGCACCATGGTGTTCCCATCGGTGTACGAGTCGTCGTTCCAAGGGTTCCAAGACGCTGACGCGTTCGACCCGGACCGCTTCTTCTCGGAGGCGCGGAGGGAGGACGTGGTGTACAAGCGCAACTTCCTCGCGTTCGGCGCCGGCCCGCACCAGTGCGTCGGTCAGCGGTACGCGCTCAACCACCTCGTCATCTTCATGGCGCTCTTCGTCTCCCTCGTCGACTTCCGGCGTGAGAGGACGGAGGGCTGCGACGTGCCGGTGTACATGCCGACCATGGTGCCGAGGGACGGCTGCGTCGTCTACCTCAAGCAGCGCTGAGTCAAGTTGCCATCGTTCTGAGCTGGTTCCCGTTACCCAGTCCTGCTCCGCTCGGTTTCTTTTCCTCCACCTCCACTGCATGGGCATTACGTATCTCGTTCATTCTTCATTGCCCCGCCGCTCCTTTCATTTCCCCAGTCATCTCCCTCCAAGGTTCTCTTCGTCAACACAGTTATTAGTACTCCCTCCGTTTGAAAATATTTGACACCGTTGACTTTTTATTACGTGTTTGACCACTCGTCTTATTAAAAAATTTGTTAAATATGTAAAACTATATGTGAACATAAAAGTATATTTAACAATAAATCAAATGATATAAAAAGAATAAATAATTACTTAAATTTTTTTTAATATAACAAATGATCAAACACGTAAAAGTCAACGGTGAGTAATAACAAGCTCTCTACGTCATGCATAATTGCATGTTCGTGCTTGTACCGTTGTACGTGTAATAACGTGCAGTTCGCACGATTGTGTTTGTGGCACGTGTCTTATAGCTCCCCTTTTATTATTGTTACCCACGTCTCACTCTCTTTCTTCTGATCTGTATCTCTATTATAATGTTTTCATTTGGTTTGGTATATCGTCAATCCGATTCCAATTTCACTTTTCATCTCGTTCGTTGAAAATCATTTTTCTGGGAATTAATTTCAGCAAAATCATTTTTTTCGAGTGAACAACTTAACCTAACCACCAGCGAATGTGTTCTGACCACTTGTAGAAATCTGTTTCATACTAGTGTACAGTAATTTAGCATGTACATTTATCAGAATTCTTTTTGTTACCTGTAAATATTTTTGGGAATATTCCTTATTTTCCACTGAATTCATATCAACCGTTATTTGCCTACGATATGTCAGGGGCATTTTGGACCTTTGACTTGGACGTGCAAGATCACTCCTGCGTGCATAAGTTGTGTCGTCACGTATCGAAACAAACCCTAAACTCATCATTGCAAAAGTAAAGGTCAAAAAAAAAACATTGCTACTATTACCATGTGTATTTAAATATATTATCCTATTGATTTTATTTGGTCAAACTTTTAAAACTGTGACTATAGATAGCTCTCAAAATAACTATGTTTTATAAGCCCTTTTATAATATTGTAATTTTTAGACATTATTGTTATATCAAATAGAAAAGTATTTCCTCCGTCCTAAAATGTTGCAAGCTAGTCGTCCAGATTTGTTGTCAGGAGTCAAATCACATCTTAGATTATAACATTTTGGGATGAAGATAGTAATAAAGTTACACATCAATGCCGTAAACAGTGTCTTATATTTATAATACGGAGGTAGTACTAACTTATTGCACTTTTAGCAGTGCGTTTTAGAAAACTGACTGCTACCTCCGACTTGTGAAACAGCTGAATATGTATCCGACCCAACTGTGAGTCTGTGACACATACATTGAATGTCTGAATCACTGATACACCGATTAGATTATCTATCTTTCAAAAACTTTTTCCCTAAAAGGCTAAAACTTCTGTACTCTTTTTCCTCGAGAAAGTTGTAGGCTAGCCCTTTAGGCATTTATTCAAAACTAATTTCTAGCAAAGCATACCAATCCATTATTGAAACTTTCATACCAGGGAGAAAACAAATCAAGAATCATAAGCTATTTTCCTTGATAGTCTAATATCTTTTGTAACTACAATAATTTAGGTCACAAAAGGATACAATTCTTTATGCAAGGCAGAAAACGTAGCTCACGATATCATGCTATAATACCCAATTCCCACAATTGTTAGGAATCCTACTAGGTCCAATATCTACATTTTCTATGTTTGTTGTATGAATCATACACTTGGTAACTACCATTCTAAAAGAATGCTATAGGTTCAAACTTTCTGAAAAGAATAAGGTAGGAGCGACAGAAAAAGAATGAAAGAATAGTAAGTAACCTAAGCTTCCACTTACGCTGAAACAAGACCAAGATATCCTGCAAATGCCGTCAATAGGCATGATATAATGTATGCGCCAGCCACAATATAAGGTTCCTTGATACCCCACGACTTAAGAAAGTAATACGAGGGAAGAATACGCAAGGGATATCTATTTGTCCCAAGGAAGTGCTTCTTAGCCATCTGAAAAGGGACCTGTGAGAGATAATCGTATAAATAAGACAGGCTTTGTTCATCACCAAAAAGTAATTCTATGATCAAATGCGCTCTACTTCAAAGGATTGTCATATTTGAATCTGACTAGACCAAGATTTAACTAAAAACTGTTCAGCAAAAACATATACACAAGGCATGATACGATTAATGTACCAGCGAAACTTACTTTTCAGAAGAAAAGGATAAGCAAACTTCACAACGTGGATTATGGAAGCATAACTCAGCTAAATTTACTTCCATACGAATATAATTGCTCATGGACAGTAAAAGGGCCTTCTAGGGGGTCCTGATTAAGCACATAAGGTTTGGGCTGCGGGGCCCAGAAAGATGGAAACGATAACAAAAAATAGTGGTTTACAACAAAGATCACTTGATGGTCAGATATATTAACCCATCTATTTTTATATAAAAGGGTGTAAAGCTATAACCAAAGTAAGATCGTCCATGCTCTTTGACAGAGAATGAGAACAATCAAATAATGAACTCCAACAATACTCAACCATTATCTACTGGAAAACATCTAAATCGGTTCATGCAGCTCAAAGCAGAAGCTACACTTTGTAACAGTTATAGAAATGCTGACTAAGTGTAACAACCACCAGATATAAAAAATAATTGAAGCAAAAGGAAGTGATTGTCTCCAAAAAAAAAATAAAAGAGGAAGTAATCCAAGCAATAACTTACCTGAAATATTACCAAGAGCAGCTCAAGAAGAAAAATGCTGCATGCGATGAACATCGGAATGAACATTCCACTGCAGGCTGCAATTGTAGCAATTGCTCCTCCCAGTGCAAAAGAGCCAACACGTCCCATAACAATTGAGGCCCTATATCTGTTATGGAAAAGAAAGCCAGTGCAAGCGCCTGACATTGATGCTCCAAAAACACTCATTTCTGCAGTAAAAAGGTGAATAGCTTATTAGCCATTACTTCAGTAGAATCACTACAGATATTAAACCTACAACTAATAATGCACTAGTAGCAGTCGAAAATCAATTAGACGGTCAACAGGAGCGCCCATCTGGAAGATCACTTTGAAGTACAATAGGGACAAGGTAAATTCTGATATGCCAACTTCAGATTCATGACTAGTGACTACACAACTTGTTCTCTTTCTCCCTACAAATGATATGCATGTCTGCAAGGAGACTGCATCTGGCTTTTTCAGCCAGTGGAACACATAAGCTTTGAAAGATCCAGATGAAACTGAATGAGTGAAGTGCATCACTGGCATTTTTCCACTTAGGGATGTTTGTATCCAAGCAACAGTAAAAGCCAATATGCTATAGCCGAATAAGGGATTATTCATGGTTTAGGATAAGTATATTTGAGATTAGCTCAACAAGCCAGAATGGCAAATTACCTGAACAAATTGGGAGGGAAGCAACAGACAATCCAGCAAGTGCTAAAGCAGCGACGCCACCAGCCAAGCCATCAAGATGATCAACCAATGTAACTCCAGTGCCCATGGAAAGAGAACATATTGCAGCCAAAACGAGATAGATTTTTCCTATGAATGCAAGGCCAAGAGGAGGAGGAAGAGGAACAAGGAATTTCCTTCATGAACAAATTCGAATTAGTAAAGCTGACAAGTGAAAAAAGTCAAAAACATCCTAAAGTATTAGTCAAAATGGCAAAGCTATAGAACTATGACAACGGTAGTGACATGTATCTTTTTGTTACAGAATGCTGGTTATGGAGTTTAAGACCACATCAATGTTGGTTATGGAATTTAAGGCCACATCAATGCTGGTTATGGAATTTAAGGCCACATGACTAGCTTGGTGCACTAAATAGGAAATGAAAATCAGAAGTGGTTAGCAAAGCACCCTTGCCTCTAAATTAACATGTGAACACGATCACTAGTGACTAGCTACTAGCATGAGTTGAAAATAGATGTTAAATCAGTACATTTGGAAGTAATGTAAGGCACGAAGTATCTGTGCAGTGTTCCTGTGAGTACAGGGAGGCAGAAATAATGTTGTGCACCTTATTAACTGAATTGTACATTGTACTGCATCATGATAATACTTTGATATAGGCCATTAAGAAAGGTTACTCCTCATCAAAAAAAAAAAGGCAATTTACCACATTGCCTAACCGATAAAGCATTAATTCAAACTGCAGTTAGTTTTTCAGTATATATAAGTTGAAGTAATGCTTACGTGTTATATGGTGTTGAAATATTTGTAGAACTTAACCAGATAGATAAGTAAATCCCAGCAACAATCTGCAAAAGAACTGTAAGTTGCTTTCAACATAATAAGGGAAGAGCATCTCCCGTCAAAAAAATAAGGGAAGAGCATCCTATCATCTCTCTTGAAAAAGCACCATTCACCTGAACAAATAATCTCATCCAATGCGGTATTTTACGATTGCAGTCCATGACAAGATTTGAAATATCATCAAGAAATCCAACCATTGCAAATATGAGGGTTATAATAGCTGCTCCATTCACTCCAGTTGAGGAACCAACCTGTCTTCTTGCAACAAAAATGCCAATAGGTACAAAGAACAATCCTCCCATTGCTGGTGTTGGCTTTCTATAGAATGGAGACATAAGCTTCCCTCTCCTCCGGAAATGATGAATCTTCATGTTATCAGCAACTGGTGCAAAAAGAAATCCAGCTAATGCTGATAGAACTGATGATATTAAAAAAGGACGTGTCAAGTAAAAAGAGTCCAGAGGTAGTCTAACAATCCGCCAAGAACACCAGTCGACAAACAAAAGTAATATTGCTAAGAAAGCAATCAGTCCAACATTATTCATCAGCCCTTGTTGAGTTCTGGGAATTGATGTAAAGAGCTTCAGTCAGAACCTAGCAAAAACACTTGTAAAAAGCGTGTGTTTCTTACTACTAGTTTGATAACTTTTAAGTGCCATTTACCAGGAATAACATAAACAGATAATCCTGGAAGATCATAATGCATGCTACAAATCTACACGCTGAATCTCTAGTTTTTAAGTATTATCAGAAGATATTATTATCTTGCCTGCTGTCCCTATGCCCTTTCTCAATCGTGGCAAACCTATGGGCAGCAACTGTCATCGCACCCTCTACACCCTCAAAGCGGCTCTTGCTCTTTAGAGGTAACTCAACATCACTCGTTGGATTTAACACGACCTCCTCATCGCTCCAGTCGCTCTCACTTGAATATACAACAACCTCTAAAGGGTCATCCCCATCAGCGTGCACCAGCGAGAAATCACCCAGATCCTACATAAAAACCAACGCTAATAGTAAATTAAGCTACTCCATAAGAATCAATGTATCAAGAAACTCCATAAGAATCAATGTTATCTAAAGAAAAATAAAACAGTACCTCATCAAATGCAGAGGCAACTGGAAGGACATCGCGCCTGCTTGTGGGTCTCGTGGAGATATTTCTGAATTGGAAGTCCTGAAAGGATAATTAAATGACAATGCGATTGCCTTAGCTTAACCATTTCACACGCATTGGTTTGTCAAACGAATCATTCTCGCGCAAACTCAATTAGTTATATACAAACATCCATCATAAAGTCACCACTCAGAAATCCAAGGTGATACTGTGGATGATTTCTCCAACAGGCAACATCCTAACCGTCTCGACGAGATCAAATAGCATCGAAACGAATCACACAAGCAGCATCCCAACTCGCCAACACATGGATAATCAGACGGGGAAAAACTAGAAGAGAACACTCATTTCGTGCCAATAGTACACGTGCTAAAGCCTCGATGAACATCAGCGAGGCGGCTATTCCCCCGATGCGGAACCCTAGCAGGAGGAGAAGGAACGAAGGCGCCCGCGAGATCTGGGAACTCACCCGGAGAGCGGAGGATCGGCAGGCGACGGAAGAGGGAAGCACCCGCGGCTGCGGCTGCGGCGGCGGCCGGAGAGATCGCCGCGACCGCAAGCGCGGGCGATGGGGAGCGGCACGCGCGGCCGCGGCGGCGGAGGAGGAGGGAGCGGACGGAGGCGACGCCATGGGCGAGGCGGCTCGTCGGAGAGGAGGGGGACAGGAGCGCACGACACGGTCGGAGATCGCGGCGGCTTTTTCTAGACCGCGACGGCGACGGCGACGGCGTTGCGCCGATGCGTTGGTGGGGTGGGTCGGTGGGTGTGGGTGGGGTGCTCGTGGACTCGGTGCACGTAGACAAGCGAGCTAGACCGACTCCGGTGCTCATGGTGGGTCCATGACTCCGGTGCTCATGGTGGGTCCACGGGTTGTGATTTGTGACAGGTATTAGACAGGTGGTTACTGGTTGACGGTTTATTCCTTCACGTGTCCAAGTGGACATTTTTTTTCTCCTGTGGGCTTGGAATGGGCCAAAAGAGCAGCATGTTGGGTTCCACGGCCAGAACAGTCTAAGCGGCTCGAACATTGTCTTTGCGTTGTTTCTGTCAATAAAATTTTCAGCTTAATTAACACAAGGTTGCCAAGTTCGCTTTATGGATTAGTATGATAATATAAAGGATTTTAGATGGATGTGACCAGATTCATTGTAATAGAATGTATTATATCCACCCAAAATCTTTTATATTATGGGACGGAGAGAGTATACTATAATTTCTACGAGCTGACACGTCATGACTGGAATGAATTTCTCCTTTACTGATGTCTGGTGACGAAATCCGTATTGTGAGTGGGAAGTTACTGCATCTGTCTAAAATATTGTAATCTAGTAGTAGAATAGAATTTAACTTATTCTAACAACGAATCTAGTTAGATGGATCAAATCTCATCCCAAGGTTGTACTTAGTAACATTTTGAAATGACTAGTATCTATGCAAATTTAAAAAAGAAGCCAATGTTGATGGACATGGCCCTGTTTAAATCCCATCTTAAAACTTTACACCCTATCACATCAAGCATTTGAACACTATTAAATATAGGCTAAAAAATAACTAATTATACAGATTGCGACTAACTTGCGAGACAAATCTTTTAATCCTAGTTGCTCCATGATTTGTTATTGTGGTGCTACATTAAACATTTGCTGATGATAGATTAATTAGGCTTAATAAATTTGTCTTGTGGTTTACTAACGTATTTTGCAATTAGATTTTTTGTTAGTGCCCGAACACCCCATGCGATACCCTATATAATATCCTATGCGATACGCCAAAACTTTACACCCCTACATTTAAACACCCCCTAAGTAAGTGAGAAAGCACAAATCAATCACCTCTCCTCTCCCAACCCTCTTTCTATGAGCTCCATCTTTGTTGACCAATGTGGCACCGGCCATGCAGCAGTAGCACTATGTTTAAATCCCTATTTGCTTCATGCACAACATGTTGATCGAATAGCCTATTTAGGCTATTTTTAATCCTGTCATTGTTAATTGGAGTTTGAGAGTGATTGTTTAGTCTTAATTAGATTATCTAATGTTATTAGATCTTGTTGCAATGTACGGAATTTTTTTTAGTCATGAATATTTCAATTTGGCCAGAATTCAGAATTTAGACATGACTGGTCAACAGCATGGATGAAACAATTTCGCATTAGTGACCTAATCGATCGGAGCACAGAATCAAGCTTATCCCTTCCTGAAAGTAGAACTCAATTCATTTCCAGATGCTTTTCTAGAACTCGGGATCACAAGCTAGCCGAGCTGAAGGCGACACACGAAACAAAGTGATCAAGTAGATGCATGTGAAGAAATTACAAGAAAGCATTGGACACGAGGTCGACCAGATCTCTGAGTTAGGCTTCCTGCAAGCCATAAGCTCCCAGGAAGTCCGTGATAAAGGCAGGGAAAACTGAAGCCAAAGCAATCTGTGTACATTTCTTCACGTCCTCCTGACAACAAGATGTTTCTTTTTCACTAATTGTCACATCCAGTTCCATGATCTCTCTGGACCCTGCAAAGTCAGAAACAAGATGACACGTGAAATGATCCAAATTAGCCGTGAGTTCTTCGTTTGCAGCCAAAATTAACAAACAAACCTAAGAGCCTGGTGAATGTTTAGATAGCTTGGGGATCAATAGATAGTTAATACTGATGACAAGCTTTCGCTATTCTCAAAAAATTAACCAAAAAAAATCTCTTTTACTGTCTTGTACATGTTTAGATGGCTCGAGGATCATACATAATGATACTGATGGCAAGCTTTCGCTGTTCTCGAAAATGGCCAGAGAGACATTTAATAGACTTATCAACTGATCAGAAGATGTACAGTACAGCTTCACTGGCAAAATGCAGTCATTGAACTAAGAGTTGCAACTTGCAATGACATTTAAACTCTTCGTGCTGTAATGTCGACATCTTCTCAAAATAGTACAAAATTATAAAGGAAAACTGGTTAAATAAGCACTTCTGCAAACGAGAATCAATGAGATAATTCAATACCCTTGGCCATCCCATATTTACGAAAGGTCCAACTGGAATGAACCTTCAGATGCCAGGAGGTTTTCCAGTTAAATTCACACGTAATTTTGCACCTCAAAAAGCATGCTCTATGCGACTATGCAGACAGCAAAGATTATGAATTATGGATATTAGGAGAGAACTGGGATAGTTCGGGGTATACAAGGAGTCCCTGGAAACAACATGCACGAACTAATGAAAACAGAGTGATATTTCTGCTCTTCTTGCTATAATATAGAATCAGCTGAAGCTGGGTCCGTTTCAGGGGGGAAAAACAGTTCATTTTCTATAAAAAAAAGTTCAAAATTTTCTTAATCTCCGATTGCTACAATGTAGAACTCTGCAAAGGCTGCCCATCATATCTAAAAAGTGATACTTGGCAGGCGTCGTCTCCAAATACCTGACCACTTGGTACACCAAAACATTTACAACTCATTCATAGCTAACCAACCAAATCACGAGCAATAAGACCAGACCACTTGGTTTTATTTTCCTTTTTGAAAGAAATACTTGATTTTATTTCACATAGAAATAACAAAACCAAATAAAACAATATTTTCCAAATAATTCATTGTTTCCTCCATCTTCTTTCCTGAAGCCAAACCAAACCCTTATTTATGCTGCATTCACAGCTACCACTTCACACTCAGCTAGTCAAGATTACCTGGCACACTCAGAAATGTACCACCAACATGTCAGTAATAAAAACAGCCTCTAGGAACTAAGATCTCGACTTAGGCACCTCCCACTTCTAACTAGACACTCCAATGGAAACTATTAGCAATATCTTTCACAATGACCCACTCCCACCTCTAGGAGCAAGAGCAAACCAATCTATCAAGCTGAGAAAATTCATTATTTCTCCATATGATTCCCGTTACAGGTAAGATCGATATTTGCTTGCTCATATATGAATATGCACACAAAACACAGTTAATTTACATAGTTAGTTCCTTTTTGTTTATGTCTGCATAGGACCTGGGAGACGTTCTTGCTCGTGCTTGTTGTTTATTCAGCTTGGATCTGCCCATTTGAACTAGCATATCTGAGAAATCTCTCCTGGAAGGTTTCTCTTGTTGACAATATTATTGACAGCTTCTTTGCAATCGATATTATTCTCACATTTTTTCTAGCGTATCTGGATCAAAAGTCATATCTTCTAGTGGATGATCCAAAAAGGATCGTGGCTAGGTCAGTTTTTTCACGTATGTAATTTTGAATGCTACAGTACACGTTCAAAGATAACTGTTGAACAAAACTGACAATAGTGTATATGAAGATATTTCTCTTCCTGGTTCCTTTTTGATGTCTGTTCAACGATTCCATATCAACTGCTTGGGCAAATCTTCAAAAAGCATGAAAATGGCCTTGCTTATAGGTTACTTAGCATGCTTCGATTATGGCGTCTCCGGCGCCTCAGTGAATTATTTGCCAGGTACAGTGTTTTTCCGTTTCATCTTGAAACTTACAAAAAACTTAAATGAAAATTGATATGGTAAAACAATTCCTCTAGGCTCGAAAAGGATATCCGATTGAATTACTACTGGATAAGGTGCACCAAACTAATTTCTGTAAGTTTGCATGCTCTCATTTCCCTCTTCAAATTTAAAAAAAAAAGAAGAAAAAAAATCGAAGTACACTACCTTGATGAAGAAAACTTAGTTCTATATTATTATTATTATTATTATTTGTAAAAATTTCAGGTTACACTTTTTGCGGTACATTGTTCAGGATGCTTCAATTATTTAATAGCTGATAGATACCCCAATCCAGCAAGAACATGGATAGGAGCAGCAATACCAAACTACAGATCACAAAATCTGTGGGTTCGATATGTTACGGCAATTTATTGGTCCATAACAACACTCACAACAACTGGTTATGGGGATTTGCATGCAGAGAATCAAAGAGAAATGTTATTTAGCATATGCTACATGCTATTTAACCTGGGATTGACAGCATACCTCATAGGTAACATGACAAATCTGGTTGTTCAGGGAAGTTGCCGGACCAGGAATTTTGTACGTACTCTTCCAATAACTTCAAGAAATCCTATAGCAATTTTGATGATGTTGATATTCCTGCTTTGTGGATTTGCAAAATAACTGGAACAAAAAAAAAGAGAGAAATAAGTACTTTGCTTATGGATTTTTAAGCTTATCACTAGCATGTCTGGAAATCGAAGGCTGTGCTGTAGAGATGCATGTGAAAACTCTTGCAAATTGAATGTGCACCTGTATGTGCATACATGCATAGACACAGCTAGAAGTAATATGAGTATTGCTATACAATTCTTTTTGGTACAGAACTGTACTAACAATAAAGTTGCATGTAGAATCATGAATGGGAACTTAGATTAGATAAGATTGGTTGTTGGTAAAAAATTCATAAAAACTCTACCATTCCCAAGCAGTACATACCTTCTATTTTTGCAAATATCAAGTGCATTTAAACCTCTTAATCGTTCTCATCTTTCCATACTGCAGAGGGACACAATCCATGCTGCCTCTCAGTTTGCTGCAAGAAATCAGTTGCCTGGACATATTAAGGACGAAATGCTATCTCATATCTGCCTAAGATATAAAACAGAGGGGCTGAAACAGAAAGAAACATTGGATAGTCTCCCCAAGGGAATCCGTTCAAGCATAGCGTGCAACTTATTCTTACCTGTTATAGAAAAAGTCTATCTTTTCCATGGTGTCTCATTTACTTGCATGATCCAACTGGTATGAACACAAGGAAATTAGTTTCTATGCTAGAGCAATTGCAAAAGAAAAATAAAAAGTTAATATTCGATATACCATGAACAACTCAAAGTTAATACATTATCCCTACATAATAGGTAACTGAAATGGAAGCAGAGTACTACCCACCAAGAGAAGTTGTCATACTCCAAAATGAAGCACCCCGAGATGTTTACATATTAGTTTCGGGAGCAGTGGTTAGTGCAACTATATTTTGGAACACTGTGATGATTTTGCAGTTCATACAACTATGGATACTAGTGTAACTGTTGTTATTTTGTTTGGCAGGAAGAGCGGGTAGAGATCGATGGAACAGAAAAGGTGACTTAACAAAAGTTCATATGTTCTAAAGAACAATGGTTAAAAGGGTAATGCAGAATTTGACATGTATAATTACAAAATCCAGGTCCAGGAAGTACTGTGCAATGGTGAAATATTTGGAGAAATAGGAGTTATCTGCAGCATCCCCCAGCCATGTGCTTTCCATACAATCAAAGTTTCACAACTATTAAGGCTGAACACAGCAGTGCTAAAGAACATTATCAAGGAAAACAGCGATGACAGACGAGTTATTCTGAACAATCTTTCCCAGGTTAGTTCATGTCTTGGTATCATCATGGTGTCTTGTTTTATAATATACCTTTTTATGCAGAATGATGATTAGAATTCTTTCGTATTCGGCAGAAGATGAACCAAGATCACAGGTTCTCTACCGAGGTGATGGAAAAATCTTTACAGATGATGCATCAACACTTTGGAGAGTACAACAGATGTTCTGCATTGAATCAAGACAATGAGAAGAATGAATTAAAAGCTAATAATGGTCATTCTATGGCTTTAGAATGGAAAAGAGTGACAATACATATGTATTCACAGAGGAACAAAAGACCGGAGGCACCGCTTGCAAAAGTTATAAATCTACCAGGATCTCTTGATAAACTTTTCGCCATAGCTTGTAAGTATTCTTTGATTTAAATACATGAGGGAGGACGATTAGGGCCCTGTATAGGAGGGCTTAGTTTCTTCCATGAACTGGCTTCTCAGGTATGTAAGCAGAAGGGACCTCATATTCTCAGTGCAAGGGAGGTAAAACTCCCCTGAGAAGTGAGAAAAATCCTTCCAGCTGCAGCATGTTTTGGAAAACTTAAGATTCTCATAGGTTACAGGAAGAGTACTTTTAATTTACATCCCATGCAACAATCAAACAGAGTTCTATAATTCTATCCTACCACTACACCAGAACTTTCTTAGATGATAACTGTTTTACATCAGTATGCTACTCTATTTGCTTGGTAGAGCAATAGACTGGAGGTTAAGGTCTCCAACATTTACTTATAGTTCAAGAAATATGTTTCTTCATGGATAACACCTTCACCTGAAATGTTTAAATTGAATACAACGCCATTTAATCAAGAAAGTAAAGCCCAGCAGGTATACCAAACCACCAGATCCTAACCCTACCAAACAGTATATTTATGCATTCAGTGTTGAGTTGATCAGTTGATGGGTTAATGGGCCATGAGATTGCATTAACCCCTCAGATAACTAGCACCAAAATTTGTTAATAGTTGGCACGGTATTAGTTCATTTTATAGATTGAACTGTCCCTTGGCATTTTTGTAGTTTACATTTGGTTGACATTTCATTAAAAAAAAGCAAGCAGTAGCTGTCCCATTAGGCTATAATTAATCATAGGTACAAGTATGAGGGACTGTCTGTATTAGGTAATACAACTTGGATCTAGTGCAAGTGTTCTTATTCAATAATTTTGATTCTGCAGGTCAGAAGTTTAACAATTATCGTCTTACAAAACTTGTCAATCCAGAATTTGCTGAAATTGATGATATTACAGTAATTCGAGATGGTGATCATCTGTTTTTTATGGAAATTTGAATAAGGATGCTTGAAATCAGCAACGATGCAAAGAACTGCAGATAGGTATGTAGTATACCTTTCAGAAGGTACCAGATTAAGATAATAGTGATCACTAATCAGGCATGAGGCGACTTGGCATGATAATCAAGAACATGCCACCTAGGGATGTTTCGAGTTGCAGTCCTGTAGTTACATCTAATTTTACTTTAGAATGTAAATGTAGAATTTTGGAGCAATGTAGTCTCTATTCCGCTTTCAAAATGTTGGATCATGGCAGAGGGCAGCCCTCTATGATCTGTGGAGTTTGTAATGTAGCTATAGTGCAACGAAAGATACTAATATCGTTTACAGGTACTTTATAGTGTTTCTCCAAGTTTTTTTTGAAATAAATGATGAAACAGACATGCAGACTGGAGTACTGGACATGAGCGCGCATTCTAGAAAAGCTAACCATTATATATCACAATTGACAGAAGTCACTTTTTTGTCTCCAAAGGGGTCGGAAATCCCAGTTATAACACTTGAATCAAAATCAGATGCAAAACAATTTGTTTGGATTTTCAGGATTGGGTGAATTTAGGTTAGTTAACATCTACACTAGGAAATCACAACAACAGTTCATCTTGAACGTATCAAAACTATATCAATTTGACATCGTAAGTCCGAGAGAAATACAGTTCATCCCAAAGTAACCATTTGAAGTTTTATATAAAGCCTGACATGGGGCCAAATACGCTGGAACGAACTACTAAAATTCAATCACGCGGGGGGTGGAGAATGCGGTGCACCTTGCGGCGAGAACGGCGGAGTAGCGCTGCCACCGAGGTGTACCGTTCGGCGTCGGCATCGCCGGAAGGCGAACAAGCGCCGCGGCCGGCGCGCGGGGGGGGGGGGGGGGGGGGAATCTACGGGTGAGCTGCTGCGGCTAGCGCAAACCGCGGCGCAGTCGGGATCTGGTCTGCTCCACGACGCGCGGGGGAGGTTTCGGCGGGAGATCGGAGGGGGAGGGGGTATGCCGTCGTGCGTGGTGCGCCGCGGCGGAAGGAGAGGAGGAGGAAGACGAGAGGGAGACAGAGTACTCCGTGTAGTATCTCCACTTGGTGCTAGATCTGACGGCCACAATTTATCCTCTCCTATACTCATTTATATCTCTCCGGTTTGTAAACATTTACTTTTTCTCGAAGATACTCATGTACGCCGAGTTAGTTCTAAATGTTTTCTTCAAACTTCCAACTTTTTCATCACATCAAAACTTTCCTACACACACAAACTTTCAACTTTTCCGTCACATCATTCCAATTTCAACCAAACTTCTAATTTTGACGTAAACTAAACGCACCCGTAATTGTACTGATTACAGGCGCGTAGGGATAGGTGAAATTGCTACAATCATTTTTACTATGGGTGTGTTTAGATCGTAAAAAGAAATTTTTTTGAATGTCATATCAGATGTTTGACCGGATATCGGAAGGGGTTTTTGAACACGAATGAAAAAACTAAATTCATAAATCGTCTGTAAACCACGAGACGAATTTATTAAGTCTAATTAATCTGTCATTAGTATATGTGGCTAATTATAGACTAATTAGGCTCAAAAGTTTCATCTCGCGATTTTATATAAACTGTGTAATTAGTTTTCTTATCTATATTTAATGCTTCATATATAGTCTAAAGATTCAAGATTCGTTGTGATGTTTTTGGGCAAAATTTTTTAGAACTATACCAGGCCTATGAGAAAATAATTAGCCGTGAAGTTTAGTACTTAATACTCTTCTATGAGTAGGTTTCAACTCAACGAACCTAATCATTGAGTGTAACTCGTAATTTGTACTGATACAAGTAGCTTTATGATCTCTCATTCAGCATCAATTTGAGCATCAATACTCGTAGTATTGTATAGATGACTTTGTGTTGTCATCCACTCGATTTTTACGTAAAAGCCCTTTTTTTTAGGAAATAAGTTTACTTTAGATCCCTTAATTTGTTGTCGAGTTTAACATTCGTCATCAACCGAAATACCAGGTATAGCCCATCCTTCAACTCACAATACCGTGTTAATTTTAGTCCTTTAGCAGTATGATGACCGATTTTGGCTAATGGAGTCAACGGCTCACTCCTCTCTCTCTCTTATCGCTCTCCCTCTCTGCCACATCTCTCTAGGGCACGCGGCAAGGACATGGTGCCATGTGGCATGCGGCGGCCGGCGGAGGTGATGATGAAGGAGATGGTGGCGCACGGCGGCCGATGCACGGAGTCCCAAACAAGGAGACGACGGCATCCCGAGGATCTCTCAAGGTTGAGGAAAAGGGAATGGATGTAGTGGTAGTCGAGGGCATTCAAGAAGCCATCGTGAGGACGAGGACGACTCCCCGGCCGCAAGGACAAGGACGACTTTACCGATCATGGTCGCAAGGAGAGGACGACTCCACCAGCCACCGTGCACTACAATCTCCTCCGCCATCGCGTATGTCGCCTCCTCCGCAGGCTAGCACCGCGTGCCACCATCTCCTCTGTCATCGCCTTAGCTAGCTGCCTCCGCTGCCACCTCCGCCAGCCGCCGTGCTATTCCTTTCCCGTCAACCACCGCGCGATGCAGGCTACGCGCCACCATGACTTCATCGCGTGCCCTAGAGAGACGGGGAAGAGAGAGACAAGGAAAGGAGAGAGAGGAGTTAGCCATTGACTAATGGGGCCCACATGGGTCTCACACGCCACGTCAGCTAAAACCAGCCACTATATTGTCGAGAGACTAAAATTAACACAATATTGTGAGTTGAGGGATGGATTATACCTTGTATTTTTTGTTGAGCGATGAATTTCAGACTCAGCAATAAATTAAGAGATCTAAAGTGAACTTACTCTTTTTTTTCCGGTACAAGATTTTATCTTGCTTATATGTTGCCACTTGTTATCCACAATGTCACTACCCCCTCCACGTCCTGCATTGCTATACCTCTGCTTCTCCACGCCTCCTGGTCTGTCACCATTCTCACGTTCTCCTTCACCAAAGCTTGCATCTCCCATGAGGGCACGAGCATGGCTCCATGGCTTCTATACGTTAATACTACCTTCGTTTCAGGTTATATATATGTCTAGATTCATTAACATATATATAAATACAAACAATGCTAGAATGCCTTATAATATAAAACGGAGGAAGTACTAGAAAAGCTCACTGTTGACTTTAATTTCAGCAAAAGATAGTGCAGATGTGATATATATATATATATATATATATATATATATATATATATATATATATATATATATATATATATATATATTGTACATATAACCTCTTATGTTACATGTACAAAATTGGATAACTACCCTTTCTATAGAACTTGCTCTAGTCATCCCCATGGTGACATGAAGCATATGGGTCCAGGGATTGCAGCGACTTTGTTGGTGCGCAGCATCCAGCCACTGGATCGGAGTTGCGAATGTAAAGCAGATGGTCGTTGGGTGTTACAGGCATCTTACACTTCATTAATGCGACAACCTTTAACTTCATTAATTCAAGTATGCTACAATCTTCAACCACACAGTTTGGAGCCATGGAAGAAGGTTCAGGGAGCTTAGATTTAGAGCACCCGCAATAGTAAAGTAAGGTGCTATCTATAAAACATGTACACCTCAACAATAGACTAGATTAATAGTAAACCACTTCAATGGTATGTCTACATGGGTATCTATAGCTCTCTAATCCATTGCCTCGTTTTTCTCTATAGACTATCTTCATGTTAGTAGATAGCTTTGCTCTCTCTCTTCATTTAATCTCTTCCAAGTAGGAAAATATGCTGACATGGATCTCTTGTAGAGAGCTTATAGATAACCATTGTGGGTGCCCTTATGTGAGACAGTGAGAGGCGACTTTAGAATTAGTGTAAAGGGTGCTGAGCTGTTCTTAAAGATATTCTCAATGTCAATTTCACTAGGGATTTTCCGGGATTTTGATAGAAACCAGATTAACTTCCCTATTGAAACGCAGTTTCAAGAGGGTTTCTGTGGTGGCCTTTCTGTAACAAAACTATACAATATGCTCAATTTTCAATTGGGCTTAGAACTTTGTAGGATCAAGCGTAACATTACTGATCTGATCCCTTAGAATTCATTTTCTTTCCCTCCCCAGTTCCCTCTTTAGTAAAGCCATGCAGTCCAAACCTCTTCAAAGGACCAACTATTTTAAGAGGCTCACAAGTTTTTTTTTCTTAAGACTTTTATATTTTATTTAAAAATTAAGATTAGAATACAAAGGAGAGAAATGAAATTCTCCAGTACATCAACTTTTTTAGCATTGAGTATGACAATTTCATCGAATACAGCAAGAGAAAAAACCGAGCTAGACAAACAATACATCAACTTGCTACACATCGACAGCAACTGATGCTAATTCCATCCTTCTTCTAGAAGGTATGAGCTGTAAAATGAGAGCAAAGCATCCTCAGTTTCACCATACAACATTGAAAGATGTTATGGATAGGGAACTATGGCGTTGTCGAGACTATTACATCAACGGTCTCTATTAGCATGCACTCGCTTATGGGTGCATATAATTAAACCATGCTCATACGGACACGTACAATTGCATAGCTCAACTAGTTCACTATTCTTTCTTGGGCAAGTTGTATAGTAGAAGGTACAATTGTCACATTTAATTTTATCCATATAAGCTAATCTATATTAACTATAGCACACTAGCCTTAATATTTTTATTTTATTTGTTTGTTCAATCGACTCTTTATTTTCTTTTATTTTTATTGGAGTTTTGTGTGGAGATTGTCCCTTCTACGAGGGGTGGCTTCTATTCTCTTCTCCACCTCAAGTATAAACTTATGTGGCACCTTTTAAAGCACTTGTTCTTATCAGTACCTTTCTTTTTCAAATCAACTTCTTATCCATACTCGAGCCGAGCAATGAGTATACTGCTTAGAAGCTAGAATGCGTGTGATTGTAAGGTATACTTTGGTTTATTTTGTATTCCGTCTGTTAAAAATAAATTAACCTGCGATAGAATGAGATATTATGTACGATGAATTATGATATATTTAGATTGTATTTTTTTCTGACAGAGGAAGTAGTGTGAAGAACTGTACTGGTTTTATGTTGTTGCCGTATTTGCACGTTAAATCAGGTGGTTGTACGTACCCGAGAACCAGCTTGCAACGTCAAAGACGCATGACGAATTGACGATGCCACATGCAACATCAGCTACACATTTCAGAGGTCAGAACATTAACTCCGATACGCTCACCTTGCACCTTGTACATGTACGCCATTGAATGGTGCAGCTGTATATCACCCTTCAATCTGAAGATTCTAACGCTTTCCATTGCTTCCATCCAGCGTGTCCTGCTTGCCATAGCACAGTTGTACGTTAAATTAGCAGCTGGACTGAGCTGTGCTGCAGCAGCTGCCGGGTGAAACTCTTGTTTTCGGAGGCAAAGAACTCGAGATTATGTTTATGTTTTCTGTCAACTGCTCGTCTTTTTCGTGGCAAGATATTGACAACTAGTTGTACCAGTGACCAAATATGGCCTAATCAATCGCACAGTCCACGATTTGACGACAGAAAACGGCGAGCGCTGTGGTTGGGTTCGCATGATTAATTGTTGCATTTAAAATGTGGGTCATGACCGCTATGGCGTCATCTAAACTCAAAATATCTTACGGTTGGTTTCTACAACAGTCAGCACAGGCGTGTCCAATGCATGCCGACTCTTTGAGTCCCCATTCGATTCGAGACGCAAGAATATAGTAACGAATTTCTGTGACGATTTCACGAGAAACAGTCTAAATCCAGGTAGTGTTGAAGGAGGTTTTCCGTTCCTATTCGAAACGGCTACCGCGCGCGCGACACACCCCGCAAGCCTGCACGACACGTGAACACGAAATCCACAAGTAGAGCAAACCGTCCAACCACCCGGCGAAAGGCCGGACCCAATCAATGAATCAATCCACCATCGCGCGCGTCCGACGCCTCCCGTGCCCCGCCCAACCCCCACCTGCACACACCACCGCCCAAACCATCGCGTGGCGTCGTGCGGTGTCGCGACTCGCGCGCTACGCAACGGCTCGCGCACAGCGCGGCGCCTGCGTAACACCCCCCCCCCCACCCCCCCCCCCCCAACCCCAATCTGCATCAAGGCCTCCTCTGACTCGCGCGAGTTGCGAGAGAGATGTCACGTAGGAGTAGTAATAAATAAACCCCCCGCGCCTTAATTCCCCCACCCCAACCGTCCCCGCCTCCTCTCCTACTCGGAGGCTCACGGAGTCCACCAATCCGATCTCCTCCCCTATAAATCCAGCGCCCCACCTTTCCCCACAAACAACGCAACCCAAAGATTCCCAGTATCCCACCACCGCATTGTGCATTTGTGAATTGTGAGTGTCGAATCCAAGAGTTGGAGTTCGTGTTCGATGGGGTCGCAGGCGATAGAGGCGCACAGGGAGGGGGCGGAGGTGTACCACGGGGCGGCGCTGTGCGCGGAGAAGGCGGTGGAGCTCCTCGCGGAGATCCACATGCCGCTGGGCCTGCTGCCGCTGGCGGAGATGGAGGAGGTCGGCTACAACCGCGCCACGGGGTTCGTGTGGCTGCGCCAGAAGAAGGCCATCACCCACACCTTCAAGCAGATCAGCAGGCAGGTCTCGTTCGCCGCCGAGGTCACCGCCTTCGTCGAGGACCGCCGGATGAAGCGCGTCACCGGGGCCAAGACCAAGGAGCTCCTCATCTGGGTCTCCCTCTCCGACATGTTCATCGACAAGGACGACGCCTCCAAGATCACCTTCAAGACCCCCACCGGCCTCGGGAGGACCTACCCCGTCGACGCCTTCGCCAAGGAGGACGATGGCAAGGGCAAGGTCCCCGCCGCCGCAGCAGCGGCCAACGGCAAGGAGACCGCCGTCAACGGCAAGGCCAAGTGAGGGTGACGCGGGTTTCTTGCGGGGTTTAAGGTTAACTACCCTCTTAATTGATATACTTAGTCTTCTAAATAAAATCACGGCTGCTGTATTACTACTACTACTCTGCTCCGGTTTTTCACCGAGAGCGTTATACTCGTGTGTCACCTATCCTATTTTTTTGTCTGTTTTATCAAGCGGGGATTAATCTTGTGAACCTTACAGTAGCATCACGAGAAGTAGATGACTACCTGAACGATGTTCATGATTTTAGACTTGAAAATCTTCTCTTGGCCGTAATTATAATTCCTACTCCATCTACAGTTGTATTCGCAGACAAGAGTAGCTGTCGTATTTAAACATGTTGCTGGTGAGAAATTTATGGCTAAATAGACGGATTGAACGGACTGTGACCCTTTTAGCCGCGAAGAGTTTGGCATAAATTTGTACTGTAGGGAACATGATTAATGATGTCCTGTGATCTTACTTAATTTGATGATTGTTCGTGTACCATGCTACCATGACCATCACCATGCATAGACCGTACTACTACTACTACTACTCCTATCTTACTAACTCCGTCCCAAAATAAGTGTAGACATAGATATGCATGCTCAGCGTTTTGACCATCCGTTTTATTTAAAAAATTTATAAAAAATATTAAAAAAATTAGTCACACATAAAGTATTATTCATGTTTTATCATCTAATAACAATAAAAATAATAATCATAATCTTTTTTCAAATAAGACGAACGGTCAAACGTTGGATATGAACAGTGCTGTCGTTGGATATGAATAGTGCTAAAACTGCACTTATTTTGGGACAGAAGGAGTACTTAATTTGTACGGAAAATCGAATCCCAGTAAATGAAGCAAGCCCCAACCACATTGAAGTGTATGATACTGCACGTGCTATTTTACCCAGTAAATGTTGCGGATGAAATTCCATATTACCCGTTTCATATTATAAGTTTGATTAGGTTTATAAAACAATTTAGCAACATCTAACATTAAATATATTATCATTGATAATATATTTGTTTTGCGTTGAAAATACTAATATATTTTTCTATAAACTTAATTAAACTTGACTATTAAAAAAAGTCAAACGACTTATAAAATGAAACTGACGAGTACATTTGAATGAAAGCAATAACTACAAATTTTTTTGACGGAAAAAAGATACTACTATGTTTTGGGGTCGAAACCACGATTAGGATGGCAGGGCTTCGTTGTAGAATTGATCCTTTCGGCAAGTTGGGTGACACGGTTGCGAGGAATTAATTCCTCGTAAGCACTATTTTTTTTCCTTCAAGAAACAATGAATTCAAGAAAATTAAATTTCACAACATTACACTTCGTTCAAACTAAAGATTGAAGGTGTGGTAAAAAGATATAATATTACCGTGAAATTTCTTACTACAAATTAACATGGAATATCATAAAAATTAAAGATTAAGTAGTAAATCTATCAAATTATAACGTTTATAGCTTTAACCGGAACAATATCACTAGAGATTTAAACTCTAAAATATGTAGTTTTATAATAATTTCAATATTAAATATATAGTTTTGCGATACTTAACTTTAAATATATAATTTTATAATAATTTTACGTTGAATCAATAGTTTTCTGAAATTTACTCATGCAAGAAAAATTTTGTCTCTATCTTTTACTTGAAGTAACTGCTCATTACTCAATCAGTCAAAGTTGAGCAACCAACTCAACAACAAAGTCGGATGAGGTGAAGGTCTCAGTTCAGACTTGACAATGGAGAAGAGCAAATATGAATCGGCATTTAGGGCTGATTTGGTTTGATGCACTACCAAACCATTGGTAGCACCACTACCAATGTTTTGGTAGAGTTGAACTATATAAATTGTATTAGCTATAGTAAATATTGGCATCAAAACATCTACAAAGTACTATTTAAATTGACTACTGGTTGGTAGGACAAGTTTTGACATCAGACCAAAACAACCCTCAGAGTTTCAGACACAAGAATATAAAACGAGGTGAATACAGCACACGCGCCGACGCGACTGTCACTAATTTTGGCAAGGAAAATCTCAGAAACCACCAAAACGACGCTTCTTGCGCCTGCTTCCCTCTTCCCCGTGCGTCTCCAACGTACGAACGAACATTGGCGACGTGGAGGCACCTGCGCCGAGCAAACGCAAAGCGCGGCCGTATTTATCCAACCCGATCGATCGATCGATCCCCAACCGCACGCACCCGAGCCCCACTGCAATCCCACCTCCCCAACTCCGCCGCACGCATCCCCGCACCCGCCACCATGGCTCGCCGGAGCGGCCTAATGCTACTACTCCTCGCCGCCGCCGCTGTCGCCTCCGCGGCCGTGCCGCCGTCGTGCGAGCGCATCGAGTGCCCGTCGTACGAGGTGGTGGACAGCGCCAACGGGTTCGAGATCCGGCGGTACAGCGACGCCATGTGGGCTTCCACCGCCCCCATCGAGGACATCTCCTTCGTCGCCGCCACCCGCACCGGCTTCCTCCAGTAAGTCGTCAGTACTCATCACACTCCCTCTTCTCGCCATGGAAAAGCTTCATCACAGGCTAGTAGTACCAGTGAAGCTTTCTTTTTTCTATTGGGCTTTACATGGGCCACAAAAATGTTTGGGCTTGAGATAACCCTGGGCTTTGATGGGCCAGGTTGTTCAACTACATCCAGGGGAAGAACGCGTACAACGAGACGATCGAGATGACGGCGCCGGTGCTGACGCAGGTGGCGCCGAGCGACGGGCCGTTCTGCGTCTCCTCCTTCGTGGTCAGCTTCTACGTGCCGGCGAAGAACCAGCCGGACCCGCCGCCGGCGGAGGGGCTGCACGTGCAGAGGTGGGCCGGGGCCAGGTACGCCGCTGTGCGCCGCTTCGGCGGCTTCGTGGCCGACTCCGACGTCGGCGAGCAGGCCGCGCTGCTCGACGCCAGCCTGCAGGGGACCAGGTGGGCCGCCGCCGTGTCCGACGGGCGCAGGGCCGACCCGACGTCGTCGTACACGGTGGCGCAGTACAACTCGCCGTTCGAGTTCAGCGGCAGGGTCAACGAGATATGGATGCTCTTCGACGCGAAGGATGCATCCGACATGTAACGCGATGAGCGCGCGGCAATTCCAAATCTTCAAATGTTCACCGGAGTAGTAGACTCGATCGCACAGCTAGTGTAATCTTCAAGCTCCTGGTCGGAAGAATAATGGCATCTTAAAGCCCTAAACTGCTCGAGTGAACTGTTTTTTTGCACTGTAAAGTATGTAGTTGAGTTGTGACTCGTGCGTATCGAGATTAACAACAATAAAAGTTCTGTTTAGTCAACTATTTTAACGCATGATTTAACGGGGAACATCAATATATATACCTTTTCAGCTCTGTTTCGAAGAAAGATTTTTCTTTTTCCTATTCTTGCAGAAAATAAACTAATTTTCTGTGACACTTCCAAGTGCATACCGGAGTATCTGATTAATTAAGCAGGAAATGCAGTTCATTAGTTGCTTCAGCCATGATTCAAAAATGCAAGTATGCAACCGATATTCGAGGCAGTAGCAGGTCAACCAGGTCGATAGTGTGGCCACATGGTAAATTTCCAATTACAAACGCGATCACATACAGTCGAGAGTCCACCCGTAGTTTCGGGAATGAAAAAGACCTTACACGATACACGCGTTGCCGATCGATAAAGCAGTGATGAATATTCAGAGTTTTTTGCCCTCTAATCGATTCTTTATCCTCATAGATGATTGTCAACTCAACTGAACCTGAACCAGTTTTACCTACAACCGAAAAGTCGTCGATCGGGCCGGGCAACTGACACTGACATGTGGCCCCACACAGCCACACTCAGTCTGTGTACTTCGTACCCTGCTCGATCCAGAGCGAGGTGAGATGAGCCACTGAGCCACAAGCCCAATCGCCCACATTGTCCTAACCGAAAGTCCGAAACCGCCACGCGAGTGCGACGCCGCGCGCCCGCGCGCCCACTGGGGAGAGACGGATCGATCAAGCTCGGTCAAAAACACAACCGCGACGTGCGGGGAAGCAGCCGCGGCCGCGGTGGACGTGGAGACGGCGAAATGGGGTGGGTGCGGATGCGGGTGCGGGTGCGGAGCCCGCCGGTGATGCAGTCGAAGCTGCTCTGCCTCTCCCTGCTCTACCTCCTCACCACGCTCCCGCTCGCGCTCTACGTCTCCTTCTCCGACCCGGCCTCCGCCGCCTCGCGCTGCCTCGTCTTCCTCCCCTTCCGTTCCTCCGCTCCTTCGTCGGCGGCGTCGGCGGCGCTGTTCGAGTACCCGCGCGAGTACGGCGAGCACAAGCACGCGATCCCCGCCACGCGCGCGCTCTGCTCCGACCCCGCCGTCTTCTCAGGTCGATCCCTCTCCGTCCGGGAAGGACGTAACGGATGTCTCTGCTTCTCTTTTCATGATCCATGGTCGCATGCAAACGCAACAAATGCGGACGATCCTGTTTCTCAGCTCTGTTTTTCTTGTTTTCGTTCAGTGTTTTCTGATCAGTTTTTTGAATTTCTGGAATTTGAATGCCATAAGAAATTCACAAGTGCTATATTTTACTCTTGGAACAGACTATAAGACGGTCTTAGAAGAGATCAACAAATTCTGCCGCAACCTCTCGGCGTCTCCTTATGCAAAACCAGCATTGCGGTACCAGAATGGGAGGAGGAACTCGTTCGCGGGAAATTTGTCCACCGTTGAGCGGAGATCCTTCTTCAACCACACTGATAGCGCAGTTGAAATTCCATGTGGGTTCTTCAAGGAATTCCCCGTCAGAGAATCTGGTGATTTCTTTGGCCAATTCGCATTTTTCATAGAGGAGAAAATTCTTGTGGCACGTGAGCATGACTATCATTGAGCTGAAAACTCATTATAATCCCTTGAGTTGCAAGCCAGATGTTTTTATGTGTTCTTTTGCGTATATGCAACTCAAGCCTTTTGTGGTGCAATAATCAAGAAACACTGCTACACACTTCGATGTTATCATCTTTGTGAAGACGTTGTTGGTTTTAGACAGATTGGCCATGGAGAAGTGCAATGGCGTGGTGGTGGCGTCGGCGATCTTCAACGACCACGACAAGATCCGGCAGCCCAAGGGGCTCGGCTCCGAGACGCTCCGGACGGTGTGCTTCTTCATGTTCATCGACGATGCCACCCACAGAGTCCTCGCGAGCCACAACATCCTAGCCGGCGAGCGCGGCGAGGCCGGCACGATCGGTGCGTGGCGCGTGGCGAGGCTTGTCGCCGGCGCCGGCGGCGACCACCGGCTCCCCTACGAGAACCCGGCCATGAATTGCGTGATCGTGAAGTACCTCCTGCACAGGCTGTTCCCGAACGCGAGGTTCAGCGTCTGGGTGGACGCCAAGATGCAGCTCACCGTCGACCCGCTGCTGCTGGTGCACTCGTTCGTCGCCGGGAAGGGTGCGGACATGGCGGTCTCCAAGCACCCGTTCAACCTCCACACCATGGAGGAGGCGATCGCGACGGCGCGGTGGCGCAAGTGGGGCGACGTGGATTCCATCAGGGAGCAGATGGAGACGTACTGCCGGAACGGCCTGCAGCCATGGTCCCCTATCAAGCTTCCATATCCGTCAGGTATTGCAATATAGCACAGAAAGAATTTGCTTTCTCGCCTTCAGTTTTTGGTTTCTTGCTTGATCAAACAAACAAACAGCTATCGTACGAAGCTACTGAAACTGACATCTGAACAATGCCAATAACATGAACAAAATGCGATTAGCCAGCATGTCAACATTGCTGACACATGATATGATAGTGTGTCACAACTCACGAACAATGTAACGCCATCCAAGCAAAGATCAGGGATACGGGATCACGAGATTTTGTTGTGCTGCAGATGTGCCGGACACGGCGATCATCATCAGGAGGCACGGCCTCGCCAGTGATCTCTTCTCCTGCCTCCTTTTCAACGAGCTGGAGGCGTTCAACCCGCGCGACCAGCTCGCCTTCGCCTATGTCCGGGACCAGATGAGCCCCAAGGTGATCATGAACATGTTCGACGTCGAGGTGTTCGAGCAAATCGCCGTCGAGTACCGGCACAACCTAAAGCGTGGCAATGGCGGGGCAGGAGGGAAGCAGGGCATCACCAGGATGGCATCCTCGGGAGACATCGCAGGGAGCAGCTGCGAGAGATACCTTCTGAAGATGTGGGGGGAGACTACTGAATAAAGTCTTTGGAAATTTTGTCAGTTCGTTGTTTCATTTTTTTTTTCTTCTGAAGATTGCATTGGTGTAAATATACAAAAGGGATAAACACAACTAGAAATGTTGGTAAATAATTGTAGGTTGTAAAATAGGTATGCATAATGAGAATCGAGAACATTTACGTCACAAAGATTGGGGCAAACTTCACAAGCAACTAAGTGGGTAAGACAGATTCATCACAAGAGTTGTCAGCACTCAACAGAAAGATTTGTCTGAAAGCAAGCATAATACTGGTCAGTCAGGTGCTGGAATCAGTTGACCCCTTGGCATGCTCATACTTGGTCTTGAATTCCTTCCACGCGTCCATGGCATTCTTTGACATCTTCTCAATGTCGTCACTATTGGCTGTTTCAGGAGAAAGCATGGTCTCCACTGCCATCATCATGTTGATGACAGCCTGAAGAAAAGCATCATTAGGCACAAGCTTTGCAGATAACCAAAACAAAACTTGACTAATAAGTTGGTTAGATCATTACCAAGTGCAGGTAAGGCCTCGAGTCACGTTGGTATCGGCCAGTCAATTGCTGACAAACTTCTTTTGCCCTCTGCCATTCTCTCTACAGGATTAAACATAGTATCACTACTAACTAGGTGATTCAGATCACTTACAGAGCTTGGAAGTTAGAGTTGAGACAAGAAAGTTTTAAGAGTGAATCCGGATTACTTTGCTTAAACTGAGTTAATACTGGATCATAGAAATGTACCTGGTTGATCAGTACGTCAGTGAGCAGCAAGCCCAGGTCAAGCTTCCTCTCGGAATCGCGCGACGCCGACCACTCCTTCTGCAGCAAGCTCGTCAGCTTTCCCCTGTCGCCGATTTGCTGCGCATGACAAGAGACACGCAGTTGGTAGAAGCACATTTTCTTGATCTAGCTAAGATTGAGATGAGAAATGAAGAATCAAGAAATGGATCGGGATGATGGATCAGGAAGACCTCCTTGGTGACTTGCTCAAAGACGAGGTCCATCAGTGTGGCGCGGTCCCTGGGCGCGTCCTCGCGCCGGAACAGCGAGTCGGAGAGCGCGTCCACGCTCGTCCTCATGGTGGCCGCGGCGGCGGCGCTCCGTTCCGCGGTGGCGCGTGACGCGCTGTCCGTGACGACGTTGAGGGAGCACACCGCGGCGGGTTGCATGAGGACCGGGCCGGCGCTCCCGCCGCGCGCCCTCCACGACGCGCCACCCAGAGCCAGCGCCAGCGCCACGCCGGCGCCCACCTTCAGCGCGGTCGTGGGAAACGCCGACGGCCCCCCATTCGCGGGCGCCTGGTGTTCCGGGTCCGGCTGCGTCGCCGCCGCCTGTGCACGCGCGGTGAGAGGCCTCCACTGGCACCGCGGCGCCAGTCGAACACGAGCGACGCGGCGACGCGGGGCGACCGGAGCTGGAGCACCACGTGTTCCGGGCGTAGCCGTGCAATCCAATGCGCGGATCAACGAGGATGCCATTGCCATCCGCTGGTCTGATCGGTCAGCTTGGTGTCTGGTGAAGCCAGGTTGCAATCATTCTCATATCTCAATTTTGCTTTTTATTGGGAGCTTCAGAGCTTGTGCTACCATGCTTCTGCATGCATGGTGCTTGACGTCTTTTGCTATCGCAAGCAAGGCATCCGGTTCCTAACGCGCTCTTCTTTTTTACTCAAGTTGATTAGCAATTTAACATAGGCTCTAAGCTTGGTTACACTCATGGGCTCATGGTGATATAGCCAAATAAGAATGTGTATTAGAACATATGAGTTGCTCCCTCTACAAGCAAAGCGTTATTCCGGTTGTACTACCGTCTACTACTAGTAGAGTGCTAGACTGCTAGTATCTATTCACTGCTGGAATCATGCCACATTTTGTAGTGCTAGACTGCTAGTATCTATGATACCTCCTCATGTCAAAGGAAAAGGAATACTCTTCCTCATTCAAATCGATTATTCCAGTCTCACATCAATTCGTTTGAGCTCGATCCTTCAGGAAGGCCGTGTTTAGTTGCAAATTTTTTCTTCAATTTTTTAATTTTTCCATCACATCAAAACTTTCCTACACACACAAACTTCTAACTTTTCCGTCACATCGTTCCAATTTCAATCAAACTTTCATTTTTGGTGTGAAAAACACAGCCGAAGTCATGATAGGAATTAGGCAAGCACTGAATTATATTGAAGATGGAGAAAGAGGTACCAAAAAATTTATTGCGAATTTCCGTAGCTTCTAGTACCCAAGATACCGAGAGGTATCATATTTTACACTAGAAAATATGATATCTCCCAAACTGTAAAATCACTCCTTTTAGATTAGATCGCCCCTATTTTAAACCTTCTTTTTTTTAAAAAAAAAATAAAGCATGTGACTAAGTAAGGTTGATCAAAGTTGAACATTAATTCCTACGGAACCCCATTTGTCTTTACTAATGTAAAAGATACACATGGAAACTAGGTTAGGACAAGATCAGTTGGATCAGGTGGTGCACTGGTGCTACATATATAGATTGACTGAGATGATTTTATAAGGGGACTGCTATATAACGGAATCCTGTTTTCAAACGGGATGATCCCGAGTAGGTATCAGGTGTGATACCTATCAGGTATCAGACGATTCTACACAACAGGATGATCCCGAGTAGGTATCAGGTGTGATACATATCAGGTATCAGACGATTCTACACACGTTTCAGGTGATAACTACAAGTATCATGTGATACTTATCAGGTATCATACGATTTTCTACCACGTATCGCGTGATACTCGCAAGGTATCATATGATTTCAACCACGTATCGCGTGATACTCACGAGGTATCATGCGATACCTGCCGTGTATCAGACGATTTCTACCACGTATCACGTGATACTCGCAAGGTATCAGACGATTTCTACCATGTATCACGTGATACTTGCGAGGTATCGGATGATACCTACCAGGTATCAGGTGATTCTTACTAGATATAGCTGGGCATCTCGTTGTGGGAGGAGCACCCCGACACGCGCGGTCGCCCCCTGTAGCCATCCCTTGTAGACGAGGACGGCGACGGCGGCGGCAGAGGACGGGCGTGGCGACGGCGGCGGTAACGGAGGACAGGCGCGGCGGTGGTGGGGGATGTGCGCGGCGGCGGTGACGGGGGACAGCGACGGCGGCGGTGGGGGATGGGCGCGGCGGCGGCGGCGGCGGTGGCGGCAAGGGACGGCGACGGCGGCGAGTGAGTGTATGGATAAGAATCGCGTTGTGGAGAGGAGCTATCCTGTTGGGGGACGGTATCCCGTCCCCTAGCATTCCCATTTTATAAAGTAGCCGTTGTGGAGAGGAGCTATCTTGTTCGTCACTCTCACAAGAGAATTGACGGGGGATTTGAAGGAAAATATTTTCACATCTATTGAGGTTTGTAATTAATTATTTTCAATCCCGAACAAACCTTAAGCCACTCGGCAGACGGAATCGAATTCTCCGATATATCATGCACGCCTCAACCTATCGGCCCTATCGGCCCTACCCTCTCACTTAGACCGCGCTCGGCCTCAGCCCGCCGTATCAGCTCAAAGCTTCAAATACCACTCCGAGGTGACGCAATGTCAGCTGTGAGCCGCTTTTTTTGTCCCGTCCTTGTGTTCAATGTTTCCCGAAATTTACGTAGTTTTTCGAAATTTCGGATCTATCGGTCCTCTCGAAATTTTCAGTGGTACTAGCGGATTAGCTCGAGGAAGCGCAAGTGCGCAACTAATGGCGGCGGAGCGTCACGGGTGAGACGGCCCGACGCCGGAGAACTACTGTGTGGCGTCGGGCTTCTCCGCGGCGCGCGGAAGATGCGCGTGGAGCTCGACGAACAAAGCGAAACAATCCATACGCGATTGCCAATCTGCCATACACTCCTTATGCTAATCGGATCGAGTTTGCATTGGCGGACGGCGGGGTAGTATTATGATGGACTAGTCCGAGTTAAATTTCTTCCTCGAAATGGAAGCGAAGTAAGATCGACTTCGAATCGGAGAACGCACGCATGCCATCTACATAATTAGCGGCTGCGCCAGCGTGCGTACACACCCCTGTCAGATCAGAAGAGATTGTGTGATTTGTGAGCGCGCCTACGCGCTTTGCGTCAGTTCACCTAGGCATGGAAACTTCTTCGTCTGATTTCTCTTCTACAACGGAGGTGGCGGCGACCCCGTCGAGCGCGATGAGGATCATCCTCCGCATTAGGCTCTCGCCGGCGTGGACGCCCGAAGAGGACGCGTGCCTGGAGCGCCTCGCCAGGGGGTACGGCTTCCGCCACTGGCGCCGCGTCGCCGAGGAGATGCAGCCGAGGGAGCGGCGCCGCTCGCCCAAGCAGTGCCGCGACAGGTGGCGGGACCACCTCGCCCGCGACGTCTACCACCGCCCCTTCACCGCCGACGACGACGCCGAGCTCGCCCACCTCCGCCTCCGCGGCGGCGGCGGCGACCGGTGGAAGGACATCAGCAGGGCCGCCCACTGCCGCACCTCGCGCGCCATGAGGCGCCGGTGGAGGGAGCTCCGCAAGAGCGACGCGTTCCTCAGGGCGCTGTACTGGCATCCCGACCAGCCGGTGCCACCGCTACTTGACGACGCGTTGTCGTGCAGCGACGTCCTCGACTCCAGCGTGGCCTCCTACCGTGGTGGCTGCGACGCCGTGGCCGGCGGCGGCACGATCGTTGCACCAGGGTTCGCCTGCTTCGCCGCATAGGCGCATAACTGATGCGGCCTCTGAACTCTGAACTCTGAAGAAGTTGGTGACAAGTACTTCCAACTTGTAGAGTTGTAGTCCTTTTTTTGTTGTATTTGATGATAGATCAGTATATTGTACGATAAAAATATGGATTAAGTATTTTATTTTTCGAGCTTAATCTAATCTTGTTGGCATTCTCTTTGAAGGCGTAATGCTTGAACATGCTATTTAAGAGCGATTTATAGTCTTTGAATCTCCCAATAACCTGACAGTAAGGGCACCCACAATGGTTATCTATAGGCTCTCTCTATAAGAGATCCATGTCAGTATATTTTCCTACATGGAAGAGATTAAATAAAGAGAGAGAACAAAACTATCTACTAACCCGGAGATAGTCTATAGAGAAAAACGAGGCAATGAATTAGAGAGCTATAGATACCCATATAGACATACTATTGAGGTGGTTTACTATTAATCTAGTCTATTGCTGAGATGTACATATTTTATAGAAAACACCTTGCTTTACCATTGCGGGTGCTTGCAGTCCCAGCGCTACACTAGTAGTACTTTCTATATTCTTTATTTTTTTTAACGACTCGCACAAGACGGTGCGAAGTTCTATTGATAGAGCAGGAAAAAATTACAAGATTACAACTCTGGAGAGTCGTAACCAGAAAAAGGAAAAAATATACCACCACCCACACGCCGACATCGCCAACCCACACGTCTAGGAGAAGGCTAGCACCGGATCAGCCGCCGCTAGGCGTGACCGACCGCCACTAGGCCAATAAAGTGTAGCGCCCGTTCCGTCGTGGCGCCTAGCGGGAAAACTATCTCTTAAAAACCTTAATTGCGAAAATTGTTTCCTCGCTCGTAGTCAGTCTCCGTGCCATTCCGGATCTCAAATCCCCAATCTATCGTCAAGTTCAATCCCGAATCTCGATCCGTCCCAAATCAAATCCCTCCGCAAAAGTCTATTTTGCCTCCCTCAGGTTCGATGGGCCGAATTCCTCTCGGCCCATCTCTCCCTCCCTCCCCATCTCTCTCTCTCCCTCTCTCTCTCTCCCCGCTCTGCCCGTGAGCCACGCCGAGCCCTCCCTCTCCGCTCTCGCTGTCATTCCCGCCGACGCCGCCCAAATCGCCGCGCCGCCCGCGCGCGCGCACGCCGTGGTGGCCGACCGCCTGGTCGCTGCCGCCGTTAGCCTCTGCCGCGCCTGTCCGCGCCTGCCGCCCGTGTCGCCGCTCCGTTCCAAACCGCCCCCGCCGTCATCGCCGTCGTCATCGACTCGGCCCCGCCTCTCCTCGCGCGTGCTTCCAAGGGACGGAGGCAGAGCTCCCCCCCTCTGCTGCATCGCCCTCTCTCCCTCCTCCTTTTCCCCAAAGTGGCAAGGGGGCAAGCACCCTTTCTTTCCCCCTTTTTCCCTTTAGCCTCCCGCCGGCGTCATCCTCTCCCCCCCTGTCGCCGTTTGGGCCGCGACCGCCGAGCGCTGGCTCGCTCCCTTGACCGCCCAAGGTCAGTTTCCAAACCGACATTGCTGCCCTATAAACCCAGGCACCCTCCCTTCCTTTTTCCCCTCCCAATCTTCCCCGTTTTTCGCCCGCGCCATTGCCGTCCCTCTCGCCGACCGCCGCCGTCGCGTGTGCCGGAGGAGCCGGTGCGCGCTAGGACGCGGAAGGGGACTCCGGGCGCTCGTCTTCTTCCTCTTCCCCGGCCCGAGGCCGGAGAGATCACTCCCGTGCCGTCGGCCTCTCGTCACTACGCCCCATCACCCCCGCACGGTAGTGCCTCCCTCCGTTCTCCCTTCTCGTTCCATCTCCTCCCCTTAAACTCGGGTAGTAGCTCGAGTAGCCTCCCCGTAGCAAGCTGGCGCCGCCCCGACCGTTGCTGCCGCTCGCTGTGTGCTCGCCGCCGTCGCCGCCCGTGCTCCGTAGCGCCCGCTCGTCGCTGGCCTCGCTCGGCGTAGCTCCGCCCAATCCGACGCTAGCAACGGATTCCCGGAGTCGCGTAGATGCTCTAGCACGCCCGAATCGGTCTCCCATCGCGCCGTTGCCGTTTCCCCCTTCCCTCGCCGCCGGTTGCCGCCGCCGCAATCCGCCACCGTCGAGCATCCCCCGGCGAATCCGAGCCGTTGGCTCGTCTCCCCTCGTCCTGTGCAACCTCCCGGTGTGCTCGCTTTCGCCTGTATCGCCGTGGTTCGCTCCGCCGCTCGCCACCGCCGTCCGCCGTCCGTTCCAGCCGACGTCGTCATCTACCTCCCACCGGCCCGCGTGGCAGCCACGTAGGCGCCACGTCCGCGCCACCTCGGCCGCGACCGGGTCAAGCTGACCCCGGTCCGCGGCTTCCCTCCGCCCCACTCGCGCACGCGGTCCACCACGAGCCGTGAGGCTGTGCGTGGGCCCGCCGCACCGCGTCCTCCGCGAACCGCGCGCACGCGCCGCGCCTCCCCTCCCCAAACCCTAGCACGCCCTGCGTGCACCTCGCTCACGGTGAGCCGAGCCGCTGACAAGCGGGTCCTACCCGAGACCATGCGGGATGGACCCGGCCCACCGGCTCTCTCTCCTCCCCACCCGCGCGCATGTTTTAGGCCGCCTTCTCGGGCCGGCCGGCCCGTTAAGTTCGGCCGAGCCGCCCCTTTCTCTCGGGCCGCGCCCTAGCCGCCCGAGGAAAGTCTAATTTCCCTCCCTCCTTCTTTTCTTTCTTTTCTTTTTCAAAAAGGATTTAAATAAATCCTTTTCCTTTAGATCAAAAATCCAATAATCTTAGAAATTCAATATCTTTCCAACCGTAAGTCCGTTTGACTCCGTTCAACTTCCAAAACTCCTCAAATCTCGAGATCTATCTAATGGCACGCCTAGAGGTCAATAATAGGACTTTATTTTCGCCGTTTGTTGAGTTTTCCTGTTTTGCGTGTAGTTTCGGAGCCCGAAGACCCGCAGTGCGAGGAATTCGAGGATCAAGCTCAAGATCTCGAGCAAGGCAAGCCACCTTTGAACATATTGAGCCTATATTTGAACTTAATTATATTGCTTGCAAAATATTATGCATTGATAGGATTGCACTTAATCTGTTTGCACCGTTTGCTAGGCAGACCGGTGGGCCTACCTAACTTGTTGCATCTGATCCTTCCATTGTTAATTGTTATATCATGTTCCCTTGTAACCACCTAGTTGCGCCTCGGTAATCGTGCACTCTGTACGAGTATCGACGGTCGCCTTCAAACTTAAAATCTGAGAAACATCTTGGGTAAAACTTGGGTTTTACAAAAGACTTGGAAAACCCGACACCTGGGTCGGTGCTTGCGAACTAAATGAATTTCCAAAATCGCGGACCGGGGAACGTACCGGGTGTATGGTTTCCCGCTCTTGCACTAAGGACCGTTTCCTTGGAATTTCATCCGAACATAAGACAAGTGCGACCACATGGGTGTAATGGGACGCCCCTGGCTGAGTAATTAGCTAATCGGGGGAGCCATGATGCCAAGAGACATGTGGATTCAACGCGGTGGTGTCGGGGAGAACCCCCGGGTTTCCTGGCACAGTATGGTCTGGGACCTAATCTGGTGTTGGTCTGGGACCCCTCTCGTTGGCATATGGTGAACATGTGTCGGCTTTGGAAATGCCTTGTCGTGAAAGCCTCAAAGTCGCCAGACGTGGCTGTTCTGCACGGGCTGGGTGACCCGGGTTAGTAACGTCGTGTGGGTAAAGTGTACCCTCTCTGCAGAGGTTATTAAACTGTTCGAACAGCCGTGCCCACGGTCATAGGCAGATGTGAGGTGATTCCTAGCGTAGTTTTGTTTGACTACTGCTTTGTGAAATTTGCTGATGTGGTTTGGGTTCGATGTTTGGAAAATCTGCGGCTGATGGGATCAGCCAGGCCCGGGTGGCCGTTTGAAAGCTGTTGGCCGGACGCCAACCTTGATCAATTCAGAAGACTGATACCTTGCACATACTCCGACCGGACGAGACGCACTGTCTCATCCGTGTCGTTTGAGAAGCACTCACTTAGTTGTTGAAGAAAAGAGTTTAAATAAAACCTATTGCAAAAACAACCGCCATCCCGTTGAAGCCTACATTAAACACTTATTTCCCATGGCTTGCTGAGTACTCCTGTACTCACCCTTGCTCTATATAAATAATCCCCCCCCCAAGTTGCTGAAGAAGATGAAGCGGATCCTGCTGACGAGGAGTTTTTCCAGGAGCAGGTCGGCTACGATGAGTTTTAGGGTTTCGGCCTAGTTCCCAAGTCGCGTCTGTGATATTTGGTCCAAGTCTTGGCTTCCGCTTCCCTTTTTGTAATGCAGTTGTGAGCTCGGGATCTGTCCGCAGCCCAACATGACTGTACTCCTACTCTATAATAAAGAGACCTCTGTTGCTGTGATATTCTGTCTTCCTGTGATACCAGCACTGTTTCCTGGGACTGGTATCGATTAATAGGTTAATTTGGAGCGTCACGGGTTAGTTCCGCTCGGGGCTAGTTCGGGGCGTGACACAAAGGGGCACAGACGAGATCAAAACCACGGCTGATGCACCGATTGCTCCACCACCACACAAGCTTTGCCGACATGTGGTACCCCTGCACCGGCGTCACCCGCCGGCCAGCCTTCGTGCGCCGAAGACCGCGCCACACCCACCGGCAGCTCCTCCTCTCACCTAGATCGCCTCCTCCACCGCCGGCCGCGCCTCTCTGCGCCAAGCCGGCCTCCTCCACCGGACGCGCCTCTCACGCCAATCCGGCCTTCCTCCATCTGCCGCGCCTCTCGCGCCAAGCCGGCCTCCATCTCTGCCGCCCGCGCCTCCGCTGCCATCGGCTGCGCTTCTCTACGCCAAGCCGGTCTCCGACCCCTCCACCGAACGATGCCGCGCCGACCAGATGCAGCCGTCTCCCACGCCCTCGGCTAGTCAACCGAGGCCGCCATGCCTCCGGTGACCGCAAACACGGTCACCACCACCGCAGCCGCTGCTGCCGAACACCCAGCCACCTCGCACCCGACTCCTTCCCCGCCGCCGACGTCGCCACC